TGGCAGTCACATAAAGATTGCATATGCATTTAATGGACGTGGTTATAGCATATTTATATGGATCACTAGATAGTGATATTTATATGAAAATCCCAGAAGGATTTAAAATGCCTGAAACAAAACCACGTAATATATACTCGATAAAATTACAACAATCCTTATATAGATTGAAGCAGTCTGGACGAATGTGGTATAATCGCCTTAGCGATTACTTACTCAAAGAAGGATATGTAAACAATCATATTTGTTCATGCATTTTTATTAACAAATCAGAATCTGGTTTTGTTATTGTTGCAGTATATGTTGATGATCTGAATCTTGTGGGAACATTGGACGAGATCGAAAAGACGGCCACTTATTTAAAGAAAAAATTCGAAATGAAAAATCTCGAAAAAATAAAATTCTGCCTTGGGTTGCAGGTTGAACGTTTTTCGAGCGGTATTCTCATCCATCAAGCAACATATACAGAAAAGATTCTGAGACGTTTTCATATGAATAAAGCATATCCATTGAGCTCTCCAATGGTTGTCTGATCACTTGACATCAAGAAAGATCATTTTCGTCCTCAAGAGGATGATGAAGAACTCCTTAGTCCTAAAGTGCCCTATCTCAGTGCGATTGGTGCTCTTTTATATCTTAGAAATTGCACAAGACCTGATATAATTTTTCCAGTCAATTTATTAGCACGGTATAGTTCTGCACCAACTCGCAGACATTGGAATGGAATCAAACACATATTGCGATATCTTCGTGGCACAACTGATATGGGATTGTTTTATTCAAAAGCATCAAGTTCTCAATTAGTTGGATATGCAGATTTCGGCTATTTCTCTGACCCACATAAAGCTTATTCACAAACAGGATATGTGTTTACCTGTGGCGACACTGCTATATCATGGCGATCTATGAAACAGACAATAATTGCAACTTCTCCAAATCATTCTAAGATACTCGCAATTCATGAGACAAACAAGGAATGCTTTTGGTTGAGATCAATGATCCAATATATTTGAACAACATGTGGTATCTCATTAATAAAAGAAAACCCAACAGTATTATATGAAGATAATGTGGCATGCATTGCACAGATGAAAGAAGGGTATATTAAAAGTGACAGGACCAAGCACATCTCACCAAAATTCTTTTATGCACATGAACTCCAGAAAAAGGGTGATATTGATAATCAAAATATACGTTCATGTGAAAATTTAGCAGATTTATTCACTAAAGCGCTTCCAACTACAACATTTAAGAAGCTGGTGCATAACATTGGAATGCGTTAACTAAAGGATCTTCAGGGTTGAACTAATGAGGGGGAACAATTGATTAAAGACGTATTGGCATACTTTACTCTTTTTCCTTTGTCCAGATTTTGTCCCATTGGGTTTTCCTGGCAAAGTTTTAATGAGGTAGATTTTAATCTATGCAATACCATACACAAGAATACTGTACTCTTTTTCCTTCACTATGGTTTTGTCCCACCAGGTTTTCATTAGTAAGGTTTTAACGAGGCATATTCTTAGTGTAGTATTGTGGACTCCAAGGGGAAGTGTTACATATATATTTTTTTGTGGGGTCCACAATATTTAAGTCATCCATGATGACATACTTTGTGTAGGGAGGAAGCTCAATTCTTGCTTACAGTAAAAGCCTTATTATGACTTATTTGGAAAACTGCAAGTTTGGGGCTATTCACGGCTTGTTTGGGAAACTGCAAGTTTGAGCCTATAAATAGCCCATGTGTATATACTGCTTGGTGAAAACACATTTGAATAAAAAAGCTTTCCATTTTCTCTCTTTTCATTCTCGTTCTATCTCTGTGCGACAATTTTGTATTTCATTTCTCACATAATATTATTCTCTCTCTATATATATACACACACGTATATATATTTATTACAAAACCCTTTTTCATTTGTTAAATATGGTGTAATTTGACAAAATTGCATTAGGTGAGAATGAGTTGATTGTAGAGATATATATATATATATTAATTATTTTGTTCTGAAAAATAAAAATAAAGAATAAAATAGTCTTCTTATATTTGAGGGACAATAATTTTTGTTGGGACAAGGTCATAAGAGAGACGTTGAAGAAATCGGCGACAACAAGAAGACTCAATACGAGGCAGGTCTTTGAAGAATCACACAAAAGCTTCATCACTGTATTCATTTTAGAATTCCTCGTCGTGGGGAATGTAATTAGTCATTGTATAAAGGAAACACATCATAGTTTCACAAAATATTTTTCGAGGAAACGAGGTAATTGGTTTGTTAGGTGAGCCGACCAGGACTGACCCATGACGCGACCATGCAGGTCCGAGTTATGGCAAGACTCGCAAGGGATTTGTTAGAGTTGGGGGAGTCTGCCTAGAGATAGACGAGTCCGAGAGAGGAAGCGACGGGTTGGGGGAACGAATGGGAAGGAAATGGAGGGCGAATCTGAGCCATTGATTCTAGTCGTGATCAAAGACGTGGAGGTGGGATTTGGGGACGCGTGGCGGTGGTGGTGACAAGGGTGGCGGAGAGCGAAGAGGTGGAGGTTTGGTCAGGTGGAGATGAGGGGTATGAAAGAGGGTGAGGTAAAGATGTGATCATCTGGTTGAAGAAATTTAGAAGCTGATCGGTAGATGAAGTCGGCGACCTTTATGATCGCTGCCGGATCGGTGATGGGTTATGTGGGCCCACACTTCTTCTCCACTGCAACTGTCCGTACAGCAGCCAACGACTCAATCGTCGGCCTTGTCACCGGTAGTAATGGTAGAATTCCTGCAACTGTCCGTATATGACGAAACCTACAATATAGTGTATATAATTGTGTATATATATATATTGTTTCGAATTTGTGAACACTAGTTTGTAGATTTATATCTTATATCGGTGAGCATGTTTCGGATGGTGGTTGTGGTTTTGGTTTGGAGAGAGATATGTGTAAAAGTTTCAGAGTGGGGGGTGAAAAGGAGGAAGAAGAAGATGGGGGTATTTCTGTTAGTGTAAAAATAATTATTATATTTTTAATTTAATTTAAAATAGTAAGATTAAATTTAACATTTCATAGCTCAGTTAACGAGTCGAATACAAATATTGAATAATATAATTATTTTTTTTAAGCGTATGAGATTTTCTAAAATTACGAGTTTATGATCAAAATATGAAAATAGTGGATGGTTTTTAAAATTAGTCCATGTTTAAATTAAAAGTGAGCACTATAATTTAAAAATATATATATTCACAAGTTGACCGATTCATGTCCGTATAAAAATAAATAACCATTTACTTTTAATTGTATTAAATACATGTTTAACCATATATTGATGTGTTTGCATCGAACGCACATATAACTTTCCCGCGTGTCAAAAATAAAAAATAAAAAATTCCGTGATATATGCAATTAAGTATAAGGTGTGTCGGAGTAACCCAAATAATAAAAAATGTCAAACTTTTAAGTGCTTCCTATCCTTAGATTAGATCCTCCCTAACTACTAACTATACATATATCAGTACTTCCAATCCTTCTCACCTTCTATGTGACTTACTATGATAATATGACATATGTGGGTTCCACACCAAATATGCCAGTTTCCTCTATTAAATAGTTTCACGGCAACTCCAAAACTACTTCTCCAAAATTATGATTTCCAGTTTGTGTGACACCTATGTATACAAATTTATCAAGGATACGATTTGGACTCACTGTAGTTATTTTGCTGAAAAATAAAAACTATAATTATTTCTAAATCTGATTGTAGCTATCAAACATGACTACACCCACTAAAAAAAAACTAAACACTTTACCAACTAAATCCCTAAATAAGCAATTATACTAAAAAAAATATAACAAGACCGATTTAGGCCCAACGAGACCTTATAATATGAGTCCAAGTACTGACCCAGCCCATCATAGTGGATGAGTATGAAATAGCCGCTCTTCCGTTAATAACCACTATAATATTGAGTACAGAAGAAGGGAGTAAGAAAATATAAACTAGAAACCGCTTTGTTTTTATTTTCATATAAATTGGCGCAAAATATAAGAAAAATATGAAAGGTACACTTGTTTGAATGTAAAATATTTTTTAAAATATGTATCTTTTATTTTTTAGTATTTGATTTTTGTAAAATATTTAAGAAAAAAAAATATATATATATATATATATTAAAACTTAATAAAAATAATTTATTCATCAATTTTTAACAAATTATTTTATACTCCTCATCCAATTCCACGTCAACTTCAACTTAGACATTTGTCAAATACATAAATAAATAAATATATATATATATCTAAAAAAAGAAAATTCTTTAAAAAAAAAAATTTACTTTACCTAGAAACAAATGGAACCGAAATCCTAAAACTTGTATGAGAATTAGTAATTTTACACTAACAATAATGGAGTTGAAGTAGGAGGCATATTATTATAATCCTAAGAGTGTCACCCATATTAGTGAGATCTAGTCTTCCATTTTAGAAATTTTCCGCTTGTTTGGCAATCAATTTTTTTAATTTAATTTTTGTGTTGTACCGTAGCAAAATAAAATGCCGTAACATATTTGATAATTTTTGTAGTATAGCAGTGGCTTTTTTAACCAGCGTCATGTAACATTTCTTTTACCAAATTTGTTTTATATTTTTACTTTAAAAAATTTTACTTACCAAACAAACCTAAACACAATTGAACAAATTACAAAAAAATAATAATAATAATATTAAAAAATTGTTAAATATGGTGTAATTTGAGAGTTGATTATAAATATTATATATTATTTTGTTCTGAAAAATAAAACATCTATATATTCTAGTGAGACAATAGATTGAAAGGCAAAACGGTAAAAAGCTGTTAAAAGGAACTTGCCCATCAATCATGTTACTTGGGGTTAAAGTAATTCAGCTCAACGAAATTGGTTTCAAGAAAGCTGGAATTAGTATCTAACAAGGACACACAGTCACGCACAATAAACCCTATGTTAGAAGGAGTGTGGCATAACTTAAACCCTAGAACAACCTCCATCTCTACTCGCTTGACACGTGGCATCAGCCTCCATGGATATCTATTTAGTACTTACTTCGGTTTTAATCATTAAGATTGTCTCTCACTTCCTCTCTCTATAAATTTCAATCTCTCTCTGTACTTTCTACTGTTTCTGAATGAACTTCGCAATCCCCACTCGATCTCCTCCTCCCTGTGATGAAGACGAGTCTGATGGAGATGTATTTAACGAAGTAGAGATGGAGGTCGCCGATATACTGCTCGAACTTCCGTTTCTTATAGCCAAATTGGAGGCTCCTTTGCAGTGGGGCACCAAAAGGAGAAGATCTGCGTTAGATTCGCCACCGTCGCCTCCGCCGCGGAGAACAGAGAGAGGACCCAAATTCGTCTTCGAGTCTTCGAGTCCGGCGATGCCTCTTTCTTTCCCGCGGAGTGAATCCGACGAAAGGCCCCAGCACTCGCACAAGAAGCCCTCCAACAAAAGGGTATTTTTCTTAATCCCTCTTTCTGTTTCTTGCTTGTGTCTTCTCTTAAATTCCCAAATGGATTTTGAATTACTGTGTTTTTTTTGTTGAATTCTGTTTTTGTTTTCTTTGATTTTTGAAAACTGGGTTTCGTTTTCCTCGTCTTGGTTTTTGGCTTGAATGTCTCCCCTGTTTCCGGTTTACTTCTGTCGATGTGTGTGTGATTTTGTGTATTAAGTGTAGAAATTTCTTAATGTGTCTTATTGATTATGTTGCAGTCAAGAGAAGAATTGTTGGAAATTATAAATGAGTCAACTCAGCGTAAACAATGTCTAACTGAGGTGAGTTTCTTAAGTTGAAATTTTCATCTAATAATATTTACAAATTACAATATAATTATTAATGTATAATTGTTTGAACAAAACCCTAACATTCTTTTGATATCTAACAGTCGGTAGAGAAGGTGAAAAGACACTACGAGGAGTTATTGGCAACCAATTTAGCACTTAAACAACATGTACTTCTCTCTAATTTTTTTTTTCTTCTTATCTCAACTTTTTTTTCTCTTTTTTATTTATTTATATTTTTTTGGTACTTTTTTTTTTCGACAGCTAAATTTTTGGCGTGGAAGAAGTCAAACCCAAAATCTGGAAATAGGGCAAGCCAATTTACATGGTCCATATATGGTTCATCAGCATAGATTCATTCTGAATCAGACGATGTATGGGAGTTCTAGGCTGGTGGTCCCACATGGTGCTCCTAATCACAACGGCAGCAACAACAACATCGTGTCTGCTAATGATTCATTGGTGATGGAGTCTCCACAGCCATTCGATCTGACCACTATGGTTGTGATGATGGGTAACAGAACCAAAGCTGCCGAAGCACGAAAGCACAGAATGACAAAAATGAAGCATTATTTCAGAATCATGAAACCAATGCCATCTAAAATGTACACTTGAGAAATTCTATAAAAATTTTGCCTCATTCTTATTTTAGTCTTTATGTTTTATTGTTCTTTATTATTATTATTATTATTTTAATTTCCATTATTGGTGTAGTGTCTAAAAAAATTTAGACTGTTTGTGAAAGTTCATGTGTGCAAATGGTTTCGGAGTTAAATGTTGTGTTTGGTTGGAGGGAGAAAAGAAAAAAAAAAAGAGTGATAACACTTGTAATAATTGATCATATCATATAAGTAAATATGTACAGGCCAGTTATTGGGCCAAAGTAACAAAAGAGGGCTTTAGCCCATTACATGAAGCCGAAGCTTAGCCCAAGTTGAACAACAGCTTGCATGCACACACTGCAGAAATTAATTTTTTTTAGAAAAAATTATAAAAAAAATTAGGTGCTTATGAAAAATAATTTTTTGCGGAAAATTTTCCTTTTCCTTCAAATTGTAACCTTTCTAAAATAAATATCATCTAAAAAAATATTCCTATTATAAAAAATTTCTACTCTCTTTTTTTCCTTGCTATTTTTGTTTGCCTAGACTAACTTTCCAATTTACATCTGCTTATTATGAATGTTTGATGGAACCGACTTGAGTTTAAAATGTGTGTGTATATATATATATATATATATATTCTATACAGAGAGTCCTAATCTCTTACTTCTCGTGGAGTAAGAAAATTAATTCACACTGTTTATATAGACATCTACTGGTCATTTTTCAAACCTACCTATATCATTTCTTTTTAACACAAAACTACTCTCAACTTTTTTTAATTTTTATATTTAATTTTACCATTATTGCCTACGGTAGCAATAAAAGGTAATGACCAAAATAAAAATAAAAAATATTTGAAAGAAAAATAATACTAGTATATATTGTCATTCACATCTACATGCACAAATAACTATAACAACAATACTGCTTCCTATGAGAGCTTTATTATGAAACAACATGAAACACATCTGAAGCACCTTACTTAAGGTCACAAAGTATGTCTCATCATGTCACCAAATTCAATTGTATGGTCTCTTATTAAATATTAGTAGTTATATCGCTCATACGTTGGCTATTTTATTTATATAGACTTGATTTGGAAAGTCTTTATATTGTCTATTTTCAAATGATAACTTGTCTGTTAAGATGATGTATCCCTCCTTATCATGTCTCATGTCACCAGGTTTTAGATGGTTCAATTGGGGAATGATAAAGAGAAATCATTTGTTTTATATCTTTGAACACAAGTGTGGAAAATTCAACAAGAGAATTTATGTTAAACGCAACTCTTCAAAATCTAATTAAGCTAGTTTGGGAACACCGATACGTCTTAAAATTGAAAAATAAAAAAATTTTGTTTAAACTTTAAGTGAAATTTCCTTCAATTTCAATTCCAATGTATCAATTAGATATTCCAAGATGCAACATTATAGTATATTTGTTGGTAAATTTACTTATATTAGAGAAGTAAATTTATTTGAATTTTAGCATGTGTACAAGATCACATACTATTGAAAATTGAGGATAAAAAGATGTTTCTTAAGAAAAAAACTATAATATCATACGTACTATTGTATTTCAAAGAGACATCTAAAGAAAAATAATATTTTTTTTTTCATAATATATACCGGCATTATTTTTCTTTCAAAGGTTTCTACACTAAAAAGACAAAATTTTAGTAATATATATACAAGTATTATTTTTCTTTCAAATGATTCTATTTTTATTTTGGTAATCACCTTTTATTACTACAGTGGGTGGTAATAGTAAAATTAAATATAGAAACTAAAAATAGGATGAGAGTAATTTTGTATTAAAAGGAAAGTATACATGTGGGTTTAATAAATAAAAAATTAGCTTAATTTAACGGTTGATATAAAAAGTGTGAATTAATTTTCTTGCTATTTTGATTCGGCTGGACTAACTTTTCAATTTACCAACTACTTATAAATGTTTGATGGAAGCAACTTGACTTTCGCATATATATATATATATATATATACACACACACACACATATAGAGCACCCACACGTAAAGTATATAAACAGGTTAAATACATATTATATATAAATATATAAAGTTTTTCACATTAATATTTTTGTTCTCCCTTATAATGAAGTAGGCATGACATTTCTTTAATTATTGGGGTTCAGGTTCTTTACAAGTTACAACCGTAAATATCATAAATATAGCACTAATATTCAAAGCAAAATCCTCCAACCGTATCCAACATAAAGGAAATGTTTGGTTCAATTTTTTAAAAACAATTTTAAAAAATATTTAAAATAATAATAATAATTTGTTATCATTTTAAAAACAATCTCTCTCTTTTTTTTTTAAGAAAATAATTTTCAAAAATAGTTAGCTAAACATATTTTTGTACATTTTTCCTGATTTTCACAAAATTAAAAAAGAAAATTACCAAACAGACCCTAAGATCTGGCCGTAAGCTATCTCATGGGCTTATTGGAGAAGGGCCTAATCCATAAAGGGGAAAAGCCTAAAAGCGTTTGGGATAAGTTTATTGGTTTATGAGAAGCTTGCAAATAATTTGGCAAGTTTGATGTTTGTTAACCAAATCAATCCCAATTTCATTTTCTTTTTCTCTCTTCTTGTTTCAGATCATTTTTAGGGTTCATAAAATTTAAAAATATCATTTGGAATATATATATATATATATATATATATATATATATATGTCTATTTAAATAATAGTCTCTTGTTGTTTATTTTCCTTGTACAATTCTTTTTCCCTTGTTATTAATAGTCTCTTGGTGTTTTTGTTCATTGTACATAGTTTATCTAGCCTTATTTTATCTCAATTTTGTTCATATAGTCTTAACAACTTGAACTTTTATTAAGATTTAAGATTCAAATCCTTTTAAAAGTAAAAGAAATAAAAGGGTTTAGACTCACACTATTTTTCTTTTTCGTTTTTAGTCCTTGGAATTTAAGATACCAAAGTATTACATCCAACATTTTCCCAGGATTTTAAAAGTTACTAAAGTTTCATAATTTTAACTTAACGACAATATATATATATATATATTCCACCAAATTTAAATTTAATTAGAGATTACTCCTCTCTTTAATATTATAGTTCACACTTGTTTCATCTGCAATGGCAGCTTTGACCATCGGATCAGTCAATCAATTCGGGTTAAAAAGTAACAAAATCTAGTTGCCATGACGGGGCAACTGAAGCCATACTCAAGTCCATCCCAAATAGGGTTGTAAGTGAACCAAACGTTCGACAAATGGTTCGAGGTCGGTTCGATAATAGTCCGGTTCATGTTTGTTTGTTTAGTACACAAACCAAACTCGAACCAGTTTTCTAAACTCATTTCGTAAACAAACCAAATTTCAAACAGCTATGAACTCGGCTCGTTTGTTCGCGAACAGGTTTGTGAATATGCTTGTAATCAAAGATCATTAGAGTTCAATTATATTTATTCTTGTACTACATATAATATATATTACAAATAGAGTTGGCTTCCCAAACACTTTCGCCATGACAAAAAAAAAAAAAAAAAAAAAGGGTAAATTACACTCACATCTCCTGAGGTTAGGTCATTCTTTATCTAGATTAACATTTTAGTTTTACACCTCAAATGTCAACTTTTGGTGGAGTCATAGTAATTTTGAGGTGTTAAATAATTATGCTACTCTTTGACGTGTTGTTGACTATTTTTGTAACCAAAGTTTCCCTAACATTTACCTTTCCTCTTCTTCCTCCTCCTAAGACCATCATCCAATTCACCACCCAACTACACCCATCAATCTCATCCATATTTATACACACACACACACATTTTGCTAATTTACCAAAAAAAAAAAAAAAAGAAAAAGAAAAAGCTCCTCACAACATTCAACGATACAAATTAATAATGTGGTTATGGAGACTTCCATTTTGCTATTTTTCAAGGTGCAGCAAATACACTACATATTTCAAAGTGACTTTTATACTCTTCTGAATTTGCCTTTAAATTTTCTCTCCCTCTCACACTCCTCTCAAATTCTCAAAAGGTTGTGGTCTCTTGAATCCACAGGCAACAAATGTTTCTCTCATTTCTCTACACTTAATATATATATATATATATATATATTTGCTGCTGTAGTTGCATTTTGTACTACAAGGAATGCAGAGATTGGCTTTTAATCCACTGGACCTCAAAAGGCAAGTTTATGGTTTTGCAAAATGTAGTCTAGTGAACCTCTTTGAAAATGTGTAATGATGGTTAGGCTGTTTTAATTGATGTTTTATACAATGCATTCAGGACCATAGTATCGATTTTAATGTTGGTCGTCTCAGTGTCAATGTTGAAACAAATTCTGCCTAGACAAGTAAGTATCCCCAACTATTTCCATTACCTTATGCTAGATTAATACTTAATATGAAAATTTATCCACTTTGTCACTAATAGATTATTATTTTATTTTTTTTGGTGTTTCATCTATACAAGAAAAACAATAGAATCATATATTTGCAATTTGCAAAATGTGTTTTCTGATCTTAATTTTTTTTTTTTTCTTTTTCCTGAATGTCTTTATACTATTCAAAAACAAAAGGTAAAGATTCAAGGCACACCCCAATTCCACCTCAGTAGGAAAGGTAAAAGAAAGAAACATATGGCTATCAAAACAAAGCTTGAAGGTCAGTAATGACAGACCTATGGTTGACAATCCTTCTAAAGTGCTTCCATTGTCAATTGCAGAGGAGAATGCACATTACCGCCATGACTTCTTCTATTCCCCACCTTACTCCACTACGTAATCCATATTTGTCAGTTTACAGTGACTTTATCTGAGTTCATTATACAGCGATCATGACCAATATTACGAACCATGTATAGATGTTAACCAGCATCCCATCAACTTAGTTTTCAATGACTGACCCTTTGTGTGAGTCTGAAACTGATCTTAAAGTTTCTTAATGCCAAATTGACAATTATTATTATTTTTTTATTATTTATATTTTTAGTTATAATTTTTTAAGATGTGTTCATTTGCAGGGCTGTGCCTCTGTCGAGTGTTGACTTTTGGGGAATGATTGGATTAACTAATTACAGAAGGATGTTTGAGAAGATTGAAGTTGCAACAATTTTTTTTTTTTTTTGGATAGTCTTTCTTATCAACAGGAAAGAAATTTGTAATTTTATACAGTTATAAAAAAAAATTCAATGAAAATTTCCGATTTCCTTTTATGTTTTTTTATCAAGTTGCAGCAATTTTTTTTTTTTTGGATAGTTTTTCTTATTAATGTGAAATAAATTTGTAATTATACACTCTTATAAAATATCAATGAAAATTTCTGAGGTCCTTGTTTGATGTTCCACAATATCATCGTATCTATGATTTATTAGAGAGCCACTTTAACTCGATTGATTGCAAGCTTATTAACAAGCTCAAGCCTGATAACAAGCTTAAGTCTGCGCTCGGATCGTTAAAATAAACGAGCTAACCAAGCCGAGCTCAAGCTTGCTTCTTTTAAATCGAGCCTAGCTCGATCAGTAATATGGAAGGCCAGCTCGAGCTCGAGTCAAGTTCAAATAAACTTTGTAAAATGATCAAGTCGAGCTTGAACAAGTTATGACTCGGCTCATTTATAGCCCTAATCTCAAATTATAAAACCTGAAGAATCCGAACGATAAACTTGATATATATATATATATATATATATATATATATATATATGAGTTGAAAGCTCTTGCAAGCTTGAATTCAACCTCAAATTAAAAAAATTAACATGAATTGGGCTATTGATTAGTACGGTTGAGTTGGGTTATATTTGAAGATTCCATACTTGAAATTGACCTCCATTAAGCTTTTAATGTATTCTCAATTATATAATTTTATATTAAAATATAAACCTTTTATATTTTACACTTAGTCACACAATTTGTCTAAAGCGGTCCCGCTTTTAAGCTTCGCACACGGACATCTACCCGGTTAGATTGGCCCTCAATTTTACACTTAGTTACACAATTCGTCTAAAGCGGCCCCGCGCTTAAGCTTCGCACATGGATTTGCGATTTGGGAGCGAATTCGCAAAAAATTCGAGAATGCACTACAAAATATCCATGGATTAACTGAGTTCAAATGAAATCAAATAACAGCAAAAGATCAATGCACTTCTTTCACTGCCATCATCATCATTATCATCCTTCCGTTCATCTCCGGAACCATACCCCTCTTCGACTTGTTGTTGAAGATGCAAGAAATTCCTCCTTTCTTTTTCTCTCTAGAATTCTTACATTTCAACCAAAAAAATATCCCCCTGCTCTATCCATCACTTTTCCTATTTATAGATACTTACAAATATTGATGGACTGCTAGATCTAGGCCCGTTCCTCTATGAGTTTTGGTCATCTTTGATGGGCTATTCGCGTTCGGCCCATATGACAGTGTCTTTCTATGGGCCTGACCCATCTGTATGGACCGGATGTCGCATTTGCAGGTCATATCCGGCCCATGTCACTTCGGGCCTCCTCAGTTGTCCTTCACTTTTTGCTCTCAATGGCATTGTTGATCACCGAAATCAGACGATTGCCCTTTGCTGCCGATTGGATGACTTTACAGCAATAGGGCGACATGAAGCAACTCCCCGTTTAGATAAATTTGAAGAAATAGCAGTGGCCATGGCCATCAGAATGGGTGACTCTGATAGGGAAGACCCACTTCACCAGTGTTATACAGAGAGTTCATTAATTTGATTAAGGGGACACATTGCAAAACAAAAAATACATGGAGTATTGCAAAGAAACTAGATAGAACACTTGTCAACTAAATGTGGACCTCATCATTTCCACTTTTAGAGTGCACATTTCTCACACCTAGAATTTCATATCATAGTCCAATCATGGTAAAACATGGAGTATGTATATATATATGAGTTGAAAACTCTTGCAAGCTTGAATTCAACCTCAAATTAAAAAAATTAACAAGACTTGGGCTATTGATTAGTACGGTTGAGTTGGGTTATATTTGAAGATTCCATACTTAGGAATTGACCTCCGTTAAGCTTTTAATGTATTCTTAATTATATAATTTTATATTAAAATATAAACCTTTTAAAGAAAATTTTGGTATATAAAAAAAAATATCCTCACTTATAAATTATCCCTTTCAAGTTTCAAATACTAGCATAACATAAACCCTATACTGCTTGACACGTGGCATCAGCCTCAATACACTCTCTCTCTCTCTCTCACTTTCTCCCTCTATAAATTCCAATCTTCTACTCCTTTTATCTCTCTACTTTCCACTGTTTGGTTTTTCTGAAATCTGCGAACAGAGTGATGATAGAAAGCGCATTCCCCACTCTCTCTCCTCCCTTTGGTGAAGATGAGTCTGATGAAATTTCGTTTAACGAAGTCGAGATGGAGGTAGCCGATATATTACTCGATCTTCCAATTCTTATAGCAAAAATGGAGGCTCGTTTCCGGTGGGGCACCAAAAGGAGGAGATCGGTGTTAGATTCGCCACCGTCGCCGTCACTTCCTCCGCCGCAGCGAAGGCCCAAATTCGTCGTCGACACTTCGAGTCCGGCGACGCCTCTTTCTTTCCTATCCAGTGAATCCGACGAGAGGCCCCAGCACTCGAACAAGAAAGTCTCCAAAAAAAGGGTATTTCTCGGTCCTCTTTCTGTTTCTTGATTAAATTACTATATATATATATATATATATATATATATATATATATATATATATATTGAATTCGTACATGGGTCTTTATTTTCTTTGATTTTTGAAAACTGGGTTTCATCTACCTTTTAGTTTCCTCCTCTTGTCTCCCCTGTTTTTGGTTTACTTCTGTCAATGTGTGTGACTGTGTGTAATAAGTGTCTAAAATTTCTTAATGTTTCTTATTGATTATGTTGCAGTCAAGAGAAGAATTGTTGGAAATTATAAATGAGTCAACTCAGCGCAAACAATGTCTAACTGAGGTGAGTTCCTTAAATTGAGATTTCATCTACTAGTATTTACAAATTAGAATATAATTATTGTATAATTGTTTGAACAAAACCCTAACATTCTTTAACCATCTAACAGTCGGTAGAGAAGGTGAAAAGACACTACGAGGAGTTATTAGCTACCAATTTAGCTCTTAAACAACAGGTACTTTTATCTCAATTTTTTCTCTTTTATCTCACTTATTTTATTTATTTATATTTTCTTGGTACTTTTTTTTTTTTGGACAGCTAAATTTTTGGCGTGAAAGAGGTCAAATCCAAAATCTAGAGCTACAAGGTCAAATTCCATATCTGCAGACTTTCAGTGTGAACGAGACGATGTATGGGAGTTCGAGGCTGGTGGTCCCACATGGTGTTCCTAATAACAACAACGTGTCGATGATGGATGACAGAGTCGCCAGAAATCACAGAATGATAAGAATGAGAGGGATGAAGCGTTGTTTCAGATAGCGTTTAAATAAATTTTGGTGGCATTACCAATTAATATCTAAACTGTACATTTGAGAAGCTCTATAAAAAATTTGCCTTATTCTTATTTTAATCTTCATGTTTTATTGTTTTTTTATTTATTTTATTTTTAAAATTTCATTTATTGGTGTAGTGTGTGAAAAAATTTAAATTGTTTGTGAAAGTTGGAGTGTGCAAATAGTGCCAGAGGTCAAATATGGTGTTTGGTTGGAGAAAGGAAAGGAATGATAATTCCTGTAATAATTAATTATATCATAGGAGTAAAATATGTACAGGCCCAGTTAGTAGGCCGAAGTAACAAAATAGGGCTTTAGCCCATTACATGAAGCCGAAGCTTAGCCCAATTTGAACAACAGCTTGCAGCCTTGAACAAAGCAAAAAACTTACCTTAATAGAAATGGCATTATTGTAAATACTAATTTGTTGTCTTTTTAAAAACAATCTCTGTTTTTTTTTTTTTTTTTGGAAAACAATTTTAAAAAATAGTTAACTAAACATATTTTGTACATTTTACCTGATTTTCACAAAATAAATAAAATAACAATTAAGGGTGGTTTAATGTTTGTTAATCAAACCATGCCCGATTTCTTCTTCTTTCTTTTTTTTCTCTTGCTTGTTTCAGATCATTTTTTGGGGGTTTCTCGGTTATTTTTCCCCTGTTATTAATAGTCTCTTGGTGCTTTTGTTCCTTGTGCATAGTTTATCTAGCCTTATTTTATCTCAATTTTGTTCATATAGCGCTTCAACTATTACTAAGATTTAGACTCTTTTTTTTTAATCTTTGGAATTTAAGATACCAAAGTGGGGAAATGGTTGGATAAAGTGTGATTTTTAGTTTAGTAAAGTATTATTTTCCAAGGATTTTAAAAGTCACTAAAGTATCATAATTTTAACTTAAAGACAAAATATATATATATACCTATATTTAATTAGAGATTACTCCTCTCTTTAGTATTAGCTCACACTTGTTTCGTTTAAAATTTAATCAGCCAATCAATTCGGGTTAAAAAGTGTAAATTTGAGAAGCTCTATGAAGATTTTGCCTGATTCTTACTTTAGACTTTATGTTTTATATATTGTTCCATTTTATTTTTTTTTTATTTCAATTATTGGTTTTGTATGTAAAAATTCAGATTGTATGTGAAAATTGGAGTGTGCAAATGATGCCAAGAATTAATGTTGCGTATGGTTAGAGGGAGAAAAGAAGAGAAATTATGAATAACACTTCTAACAATTGACTATATTATATATCAAAATTTAAAATTAATGATGAACATAGAGGAGAAATAATTAATAGGTAGAAGAATGTTGTTATTCTATAATGTGGGATGTGTATGGTATGCATATGATACTTAGAAGACCTATTAACTTCACTAACTTCATTAAGTGAAGTTAATAGAAAGAAAATATTAAGTGAAGTGAATTAACTATTTTGTCTTTGAAAATAACAATTTTTTAAACTACGATTTTTAAGATTCTATCAAGATCTGACTATTGATAGGAATCAAAAACAAATAAATATGTGTTTTTAAAATTCTATTATGATCTGACTGTTGATATGGATCAATAACAAATAAATAATTTTTAGTTACAAAATTAGAGATAATGACATAGACCATCAAAAAAATGAAACACTTTTAGTTTCATTAGTAAGCAATTAAATATTATTTTTTAATTTTTTTTTTCCTTTTAAATTTACAATTTTCAAAGACATTTTTATTTATTGTTAGTTGTTCACATTAACCCACAAAATGTAAGTACATCCTCACTAGCGAGGATATTGTCCTTTTAAAATATGGTTTTCAAAAGTAGACAACCAAACAGATTTTCGTAACGGTTTTCAAAAAACATCATCCAAACAATTTTTTTTAATTTTTTTTTGGGGTACAATTTTCTGATTTTCTAAACCAAACATGTCCATATATGCTATCTCTCTACTTTGTTCCTTTTTTTTAAAAAAAAGGAGACAATTACCAAATAGACCCTAAGATCTGGCCCTAAGTTACCTCATGGGCTAATTGGAGAAGGGCCTAATCCATGAGCCTTTAGTTGTTCGGTAGTATTCTTGCAGATAGTGTCATATTTAGAAAATCAGTTAAATCTATGAGATTTACGATTTTTTAAATGTGACACTTTATTTTTTTCTGAGGCGGATGGAATAAAACAAAGCCCAAAAGTATGATGACCAACGGACACACTTCTTCTGCAGCCCATCTGCTTTTTTGTATATCTGCACTGGAACGGTGTAGAGAGAGAGAGAGAGAGAGAGAGAGAGAGAGAGAATTATAACCGTCAATCTTAACTCTATCCTGGTCAACACAAAACCCAACACATAGACATGAGTTATACCTTGAGTTAACAAACTAGGTTTAGGGTTGTACTTCACACATATAAGGACACTCTCGCTTTGGATTTCATTTTTAGAGATCTCTGCACAAACCCTATTCTAATCCATCCCCATCTCTCTCTGAATATAATATTATATTAGTTTTATATTTTATTATTATGAATTTTAGAGTCAAAAGTGCAAGCAAATGAGGAGAATTTATTGAATTATGAGAAGCTTGCAAATAATCAGGTAAGCGATGTTCGTTCCTCATACTTCCATGACTCTGATGCATACCATAACCAATTATCTATTTGTCCTTTCGAACTTGGATTTTTCACACAACACACACATCTATGTGTATTTTCATTTAAATAATAGTCTCTCGATCTTTAATTTCCTTTTACAATTTTTTTTTTTTTTTTTTTTCCTGTTATTAATAGCGTCTCTTTTCTTTTCTTTTCTTTTTTTTTTTTTTAAAAAAAAAAAAATTTCTTGTACATAGTTTAGTAAATCTTGATTTTTCTTGACAGCTAAGAGATTCTGCTTTTCTTTATAAAATAACACCAATTGCTTTCTCAATTTTCTAATTTTTATCTTCCCTACTTCTCTTTTTTTATTTTTATAATTTTAAAACTCTTATGTCTTTAAAACTCTGCTTCAAATCCTTTTGAAAATAAAAGAAATGAAAAAATTTAGACTCTCTTTCTTTTTTTGAATGTGTGCAATTTAAGATATTAAAGCAGGGATATGGTTGAATAAATAGTGAATTTTAGTTTACTAAATTATATGAGGAGTAAATTCCATTGAATCCGACTATTTTCTAAGGATTTTAAAAGTAAATTTGACTTAAGTTTCACAATTTTAATATATAATTTGTTTTCTCCAAATTAAAATTTAATTAGAGATTACTCCTAACTCACAGTTGTTTCACCTGTAATAAACCAATAAACTCAATTATAAACTCAATTGTCCATAAACTGAATCTATCAAATCCAGCTTCAAAAATTCTAAAAGGCCATACTTTTACTCGTTAAATCAAATTCAAATAAAGAGAAATTAAGGATATTTTTCCAATTTTATAAATTATGAAAACAAATTAAATGCATCTTAAAATACCAACCTCTTGGGGTACTTTTGGTAATTAAGCGTTAATACAAACTCCTCTATGTAAAATTTTATTCACCAACTGAGTAAATGTAATTGTTGGAGATTTCCCTAATTAATATCACAAAATTAAAATAATAATAATAATGGAGAGTTTCCGTGACTCTCCATTATGCCAGATGCCACAAATAAATAAATTATTTGTTACTAAAGGAATATATTAAAAAGTAAGGTACATCACTAATTAAATTTTAAAGAAGGTTTAATGTCGAATTCATAAATATTTGTCCAAGCCTTGTTAATGCTTGTATCTCCATTAATAATTGTGGTTTTTAAGATTTTGAAATGGTGATAAAAATTAAAAAAGAAAAAAAAAAGAAAAAATGATTTTGAAAAGTTAAACTACTATAGGCTTCGTTTTGTTTCTAAAATATTTTCAATATGTTTAGACATTTTCCTAGGTGAAAACTACTTACAACTCTTAAGTCATTTCTTATCAACAAAGAGATTAACCATATTAAGAGAAGTTTTGTTAAAGATAAGGCTTGTCCTAGTCTTGTCAGGAAATTAAAACTGGTGCAAAAATATAGTGCTATATTGTGAGAGGGACTGTCTCATTGGGATCAAAATCGTCTCTCACACTAAAACAAATTTGCTGTTCCATCTTGTGCTCCCTCTCTCGCTCCACGCGCACTCTGCCTCCTATTCTCGCTTATATTTTGTGGCTCCTGTACTCTTCGAAATCACATAAAACGGGAGCAGGAGTAGGCACTAGAGCGAATTTGAGAGCGAGAGCGTAAGAGCGACAGAATTAAGTCATAAGCAGTGAAACTTTGAACGAATAATGCGCTCGGAGCGTGAGCGATACCTGTGAAGGATTGTGTGGAAAAAAAATATATATATATATATTATAATTCTAAATCTGATTGTAGCTATCAAATCCATTAATTTATTTTTTGACGTGTAAAGCAAATTTTTTTTTTTCTTTTTTCATCCTGACAAATGAGAAATGAGAAAATCAAACACGGGTACACTCAAAAAGCTAAGCATTCTACCAATAAGCAATTATACATACAGTAAAGTTACACCAGGCCTTGGAAAGAAAAGATAGCATAGTAACATTGCTAAACAAAATACAGCAAGACTTATTCAGGCCCAACAAGACCTTATAATAGGAGTCCGTATACTGACCCGGCCCATCATAGTGGATGAGTATGAAATAGCTGTTAATAGCCAGTACAAAATATGAGTACAGTAAGAAAAGCATAAATATGATTACTTTTTTTATTTTCATTTGAAATTGGCATAAATATGATTACTGCAAAATACTTCACCACCTATTCAGAAAAGGAAACACTTTTATATTATGCTTACAGTGCATGTTGTACTAATACTCCTAAACTATAATATTTGTGCAAATAGATTCTATTTATTCTTGAACTAAAACGCCCTTAGCAATACATTTTATAATATATATAAAAAAATAATAATTCCGCGAGGCTGCTGGAGTGAGTTTGGTTTGTTTGGCTCGCGGAAGCAATTATATATACAGTAAAGTTACACCAGGCCTTGGAAAGAAAAGATAGCATAGTAACATTGCTAAACAAGACCTTATAATAGGAGTCCGTATACTGACCCAGCCCATCATAGTGGATGAGTATGAAATAGCTGTTAATAGCCAGTAAAAAATATGAGTAGAGTAAGAAAAGCATAAATACTACTTTTTTCTTTTTCTTTTTTCTTTTTTTTTTTTCATTTGAAATTGGCATAAATATGATTACTGCAAAATACTTCACCACCTATTCAGAAAAGGGTCAGGGCAAAAAACAGTTTTATATTATGCTTACATGCATATTGTATTTTTCTAGTACAAAAAAATACTCCTAAATTATGATATTTGTGTAAATAATTCATATTTATTCAAATTGAACTAAAATGCTTGTCGCAACACATTTTATTATATAAATAAGAAAAATAATTGTGAAATGACTAAAAAGGGTTTGGCCTTTCTTCTTCTTCATCAGTCGTCTGTCGCCGTCGCCGGAATCTACAACTCTCCACCGTCAAAGCCCTCTATTTTCTCTCATACTCCTCAAATTGGGTCTATGCTAGAGAACTCTACGAAATCAGAGGATTAGTTCCTCAACGCCCTTAACTGGAATTTGGGTTTGGGTGGTGAGGGAGGGGTGAAGCGACGACTTGACTTTTGGAAAGGAGGACTCGGCTGTGATGAGTCGGTGCGGCACCGGCGGGTAAGGAGAAGACGGGCTCAGCTGTGGTGAGGGATGGCCGGTGAGGCGAAGCTCGGCTGTGATGGAGGCGACGACGAGCAAGAGAGAGCTCGGCGATGTGGCTCGCCGTGATGGAGGCGGCGGTGAGCAAGAGATGGAGAACGACAAAGAGAGCTCGGCCGGTGGAGGGATGGACTGAATCGGCTGCCCGCGAGCAACGGGCTGTGATGGTGAACTCGCGGCGGTGAACTGCAGTCGGCTATAAAAAGGACCTGGGCATGGTGATGGCAGCGTGCATGATACTGAGCCGTGGTACTTCGCATCCGTGTGATATTTCAAAGTCAAGGCGAGAGGACCAAAACCCAGCCATGAGCGTCGGATCCCTCTCCTTGGCCGGCCCTCAACATAAAGAATCGTAAAATATGATGCCGAAGAGGCAGTTTACTATTGTAGGTGAAGGTGAACCAAGCCCGGTATCGGAGACCAATGCAGAGGTGAGTAAAAAGAAGATGGGACGCCAGTTCTGGTCAAAATCCACCAGTTCCTTAGCCGTCGCGTGCTGAAGCCGTCGTCATTTCCGCCGAGTCTCCAATGAAACAATGTCCTGAATCGTCGAGAGCGGCGGAGGAGATGCCGCGGCCGGCGGTGCTGGACTGCCAGACGATGGCACCAGAGCCGTGTCGTTTGGTGAGTTCCAATTGCTATTTTGGTTTGAGGCGTAGAGGGTTGATCCTAATTGGATGTCTGTTGATTCGGTGGTGATGATGAAGAAGAGTGAAAGTAAAATTAGGTGTAGTATAGATTGGGGTTTCATTTCCCTCTTTACTCTCTCTAGTCTCTGTGTTAGGGATCCGAGTAATTAAATTATGTGTGTATATCTTTCTACTTGTAATTCTCTATGTATATCTCTCACCACTTGCTGTCATAGCTAAGCATAAAGATTGATGTACTCGCTTTGCCCAGTGGTTGCCATTTTGGGGGTGGAAAGTAAGGTTTGGTAGGGGTATTTTTGGAAGAGTAAAAGGGTAAAATGGGCATTATCTTAATTGAGGGGTGTTTTTGCACAAATTGAAAAGAATAGGGGTGTTTTTTCACAACTTTTTAAATACGGGGCAAAAGTGTTATGAAATTTATACTTCAAGAGTGTTTATTGCACTTATACCATTTAGAAAATTAACGTCATGAAATTTCCGTTTGTTTGGATGTAAAATATATTTTTGAATATATATATTTTTATTTTTTAGTATTTGATTATCATAAAATATTTACGAAGAAAAGAAAATTAAAACTTAATAAAAATAATTTATTCATAAATTAATTTTTAATAAATAATATTATATGCCTCACCCGATGAATTCGACCTCAACCTCAATCTAAAAATTTGTCAAATACAGAAAAAGTAAATATATATATATATTTATATATTTATCTATTTATCTAAAAAAAAATCTTTTTTGAAGAAAATACTAATATATTTTAGAAACTAAAACTTGTAAGAGAATTAGTGATTTTATATTAACAATAATGGAGTTGAAGTAAGAGGCGTATTATTGTAATTCTAGGAGTGTCACCCATATTAGTGAGATTTAGTGTTCCATTTTATTTTATTTTTTTCGATAATGGATATAGTCTTCCATTTTAGAACAAACACATTGATTTATGGTACATTTTATTGAATTATCGCTTGTTTGGCAACCATATATATATATATATATATATATATATATGTTTGCATCGTTGTGTTGTACTGTAGCAAAATAAAACAACACAATATATTTGGTAATTTTTTGTAGTGTAACAGTGGCTTTTTAAACTAGCTTATCTTACATTTTTTTTACCAAATTTATTTTTACTCACCAAACATGTTTCTAAACACTATTGAACAATTTGCAAAAAAAAAATTAAAAACAGTGTTTAAGACTTGACACATCGCATCAGCCTCCTACAGATTTATTTTAGGGCAAAATTTCTGTAAACCCCCAATACTATTAAAAAATAATCATAAAACCCCAAACAGTTTGAAAAACCCCCCAATAATATAATAAAGTTATTATTTTATCCTAACTCTGTCAATTGGTTCCGTTAATCCAGCGCGTGATTAACAATTGCTTTGACAAATTGACTTTTGTGACAAAAATACCTCTACTGTCACATATGCCAAACAAGTGATGTATATTTAAATATGTTATACCGAAAATACCCATGCTTCTAATAGTGAAAACCCACAAAAGTCTACTCATCTCATTTTTGCTTCACCACTCAACTTCTTCATCTCCATTTTTTTTTTTCTCACTAACAAACACCAAATTCCTCAAAAACCACCACTGAAATGCCACTAACTGGTAGTGCGCAACAATAAATCAGATCCCTAGCATTTTCTAGGGTTTTACTTCCGTAATAAACCCTAGCCAGCCGCCACCATGCACGGCTACAGCCGTCTAAGCAGCGGGAGGTCGTCCACCCCGTCGCTGCCGTCTTCGCCTCGGTTCTGCCATGGCCGCAGCAAGCACGCGACCGGCTGTGTTGTCGGCGGGGGAGGAGGTTTCCGGGGAGTCGGTTCGGAGCCAAAGCTGCAGAATTTCGTGGAGCCGTTGGTGTATGCTCTTAGAGGTTGTTGTTAGTAAGGATGGTGGCGGCGGCGGCGGAAAGGCACCGCCTGGGTCTGTGTATCGGAGTCCTCAAGTTTTTGAGAAGCTGTGGCCGTTCATGGAGGCGGAGTACAATGAAAGCTCTAATGCGGTATCTATCCTCTACTGCCATTTGTTTATAATATATGTGGAAATTATTATTGGAATGCTAAGATTGTTTGGTTACATTTGAAAATGAGTTAATCAATTTCTACAATATATGTGCAGCAATTGGCTTCATTTCTAAGCTTTCTTCTGCATCATATCAGGGTCTATGTCTAAATAATGTCATTCCCCGCAAGTGGCATCACAGTTTCATGGATGAGCATAAGGGGTTTGATCGATCTAAATCTATGGCGTATAAGGTTTTCATAAAATATTTAACAGAGGATTATGGATGAAAATGATGCCTTTTTTTATCTCGAGTTTAAATTTCTTGAAGGAGATTATACATTACTGGATATGGTAGGTGTGTTCATCAAAATTTTCTTAAGTAGTTACAATTGGAGCCCTGTTGGAATAGTCATTGCTTGCTCCATTTGTGGTGGTTTATGGCGAGAAGAAACAAATATCAGAATTATTCAGCCATGGCTTTCGAGTTCAAAAGCAATGATTATCTTAAGGAGCATTTCATTGGGTTATCCAATGAAAAGATTTAGACCATGACTGTTGAGATCATCAAACTTATGGTGGTAAATTAATTCTGACGAGTTAACCATGTGTATAGATTTCGGTGTTAAAAATTAAAATAAGTAATTCGACTAGCTCACAAACCACACCCTTGCTCCCTCAGTTACAATCTCCCTAAGTATGAGCCACACTTTCCGCAAAAGTTTGATGAAATCCACAACTTTCTTCACTCATGACAATCATAACTCACCAAATTTGCTTTTTTTTTTTTTTTTACATGAGCTCCACCCAAAATTTTGATACTATTGGAAATTTTCAAGCACCGGTGAAGAACTCCATCAACATGAAGACCGGCAAGACGCAGAAGTTTAAACACCATGAACTCCGGCGAACTTCAGTTTAGTACAGAGATCAACCAATCGCCGTAAACAGTTCCTGCGAGCCCCATTAACAGACCCAGAAGTTCCGGCGTGCTCCTGTTTAGGCAAACTTTAGTTTTTGTGCGTCAATCCGGCGAGAAGTTCCGTTGAACTTCAAAAACAGCGAAACTTCAATCTTCTCGACCCAACTGCAGTAACCAGAAGTTCAACTTGAGCTTCAACGTTCAACTCCATGTTTTCCGGCGTGAACAGTTTCGGCGAACCTCCATTAACCAATCGCCGTGAACAGTTTGCCCTGGGAATGGGAGGACTCTCAAAGGACGAGACTTGAGCCAAGTCAGATACATACAGTGTTATATATATATATATAGTGTGTTTGTGTGTGTTGTTTGAGAGAGAGAGGGGAGGATTGAGGGTGGGGGCAGAGGAGGCAATGGAGGGGGAAGAGAAGGACATGATTGCAGCAAATCAAAACTCAAAAGTAGAGGATAATTTTGTAATTGAAAAATTATAAATTTTTGTTTTTTTAAATAAATTAAAATATTATAAGAAGAATTTAATCATTTTAGGTATTCGGCCAATTGATAAAATTGGGATAAAATTGTTGGGAGTTTTTAAAACTGATTGTAATTTTATTATCACTTTTTAATAGGCCGGATGGTTTACTTCTTAATAAAGATAGTTACTGTAGCAACTTTCTAGACATTCCAATTACTGTAGCAACTCAGTCCCACTTTCTCTCTCTAACTTTCTCTCCCTAGATATTCCAATCTCTGTAATTTCTGAATGAAGATGAAGAAATCTGCGAAATTCGCAATCCCCACTCGCTTTCCTCCCTTTGATGACGGCTCAGATGTGTTTAACGAAGAAGAGAAGGAGGCGGCGGATATACTGCTCGAGCTTCCGTTTCTTATAGCCAAATTGGAGGCTCCTTCTCGGTGGGGCACCAAAAGGATGAGATCGGCGTTAGATTCGCCACCGTCGCGACCTCCGCCGCGGAGAACAGAGAGATGGCCCAAATTCGTCGTCGGGACTTCCAGTCCGGCGACGCCTCTTTCTTTCTCGGTCAGTGAATCCGACGACTCGCACAAGAAAGTTTCAAAAACAACGGTATTGTATTTTTCTTCTTCCCTCTTTCTGCTTCTTGAATAAATTTTTTGAAAGTCTCCCCCGTTTTTGGTTTGCTTCTGTGATTGTGTGTGTAATCACTGTATAAATTTTTAAAATATTTTTATGTTTTTTTTACAGCGTGAAAGAGGTCAAACCCAAAATCTGAGTTTGGAAATAGGGAAAGCAAACGCAAGACCTGGTCAAATTCCTAGTCTGGTTCATCAACAGGCGTTTATTATGAATCGGACGATGATTGGGGGTTATAGGTTGGTGGTCCCACAGTCTGCTAATGAGTCATTGGTAAAGGAGTCTACACAGCGGTTTTATCTGACTAGGGTTGTGATGATACCCGGTATCAGAGCCAAAGCTGCTGAAGCAAGAAAGCAGAGACTGATGGGAATAAAAGGGCTCAAGCGTTACTTCAAACCAATAGCGATTTAAATAAATTTTGTTTTTGTTATATAATTCTGTGTGTATATTTTATTAAATAGCTGGCATTACCAATTAAGGACATTGCATTAATCGGATATCTAAAATGTAAGGTAAATTTGAGAAATGTAATGTAAATTTGAGAAACTCTATAAAATTTTTGCCTCATTCTTATTTTAGTCTTTATGTTTTATCGTTCTATTTTAGTTTATTTTATTTTTTAATTTCAATTATTGGTGCAATGTGTACAAAAAAAAAAATCAGATTGTTTGTCAAAGTTGGCCTGTTCAAATGGTGACCAGGACAAATGTTGTGTTTGGTTGGAGGGAAAAAGGGAAAGGGATAATGACACTTATACTAATTGACTATATCATAAACATGTACAGGCCCAGTTAATGGGCCGAAGTAACAAAAGAGGGCTTTAGCCCATTAGAAGAAACCGAAGCTTTAGCCCATTACATGAACAACAGCTTGCAGCCTTGCACACACAGCAAGAAACTTACCTTAATAGAAATGACATTATTGTAAATTCAAAAAAATTAGGTGATTATAGAAAATAAATTTGGACATTATTGTAAATTCAAAAAAAAATCTTAAGAAATTAATATTATACTTATATCCATGTATAATTAAAATATCTTAAGGTTTGCCCTTTTCTATGCTATTTGATATTGCTTGGCTTGAACTATATTGAAATTACTAACAAAGTCTAGTTCTTTCAGAAGTGCAGACCGGAACAATAAGTGGACAAAATGAAAATCCCCGTGACTTTCATCAACATAACCAAGTTCCTGCACAATTTACGCATTAAAAGAGACTATGATTGCGGCATAAAAGGGCATTCTCTAATTTGAGGAATTAATTACCAATTGAATTTTAGGAAAAGTTACTTTATTATTCAAAAGCTTCAACAGAACAAACAGAGTAACATATCAAGGAATACAGTAATAGATGGAACAATAAGAACCAAAGAAATAAGCTGAAAGTTCAGAAAGGGAAGGAAAATGAGCTGAAACTTCAGAAGCAAAAGGAATGAATATGAGCTGAAACTTCAGAAGCAAAACGAACAAAAGAGGCCACATAGTAGTAGTAGATAACCAACCACTGATTTTGTCATATCTTACCTTCATCAGATGAGGGTAAGTGCCACCCTTCTCCGATGTCTTAGCCCTCATAATTCTCTTCTTCACCCTCGTAGTCTTCCTCATCCTCCACAGTGGCATCCTGGTATTGCTGGTACTCGGCAACCAGATCATTCATGTTGCTCTCCGCCTCCGTGAACTCCATTTCATCCATTCCTTCACCAGTGTACCAATGCAAAAACGCTTTCCGCCGGAACATGGCTGTAAACTGCTCGCTCACTCTCCTGAACATCTCTTGGATCGACGTGGAGTTCCCTACAAATGTGGATGCCATCTTTAGGCCTGTCGGTGGAATATCACACACGCTTGACTTCACATTGTTAGGGATCCACTCCACAAAGTATGATGAGTTTTTGTTTTGCACATTGATCATCTGTTCATCCACCTCTTTCGTGCTCATTTTCCCCCTGAACATGGCTGATGCTGTCAGGTAACGACCATGGCGAGGGTCAGCTGCACACATCATGTTCTTGGCATCCCACATTTGCTGAGTCAGCTCTGGGACAGTGAGGGAGATGTAATGCTGCGATCCACGAGAGGTGAGTGGTGCAAACCCCACCATGAAGAAATGAAGACGTGGGAATGGGATCAGGTTCACTGCCAGCTTCCGCAGGTCTGAGTTAAGCTGGCCAGGAAATCTCAAGCAGCACGTTACCCCACTCATAGTTGCAGATATCAAGTGGTTCAGGTCACCAACTGAAAAAAGAAGGTACATTAAGTTAAGCTTCAATATTTATTCATTATAAAGGTCCTTGTCTAATTAAACCAATAGAAATTTAATACTCACAACTAGGAGTGCTGAGCTTCAAGGTCCTGAAGCAAATGTCATAGAGTGCTTCATTGTCTAGGACCATGCATTCATCAGCATTCTCTACCAACTGGTGCACAGAGAGGGTGGCATTGTAGGGTTCAACAACTGTGTCCGAGACCTTTGGTGAAGGGAAAACAGAGAATGTGAGCATCATTCTGTCTGGGTATTCTTCCCTTATCTTGGATATCAAAAGGGTTCCCATGCCAGAACCTGTGCCTCCTCCAAGGGAGTGGCACACCTGGAAACCTGTCCCATAAACAAGAGAAACATACAGGTCACACTTGCATCACAAGCCCGTCTGGCAATAGATGACAAATGCTATCTTTCTGTGCTGGCAATCGACACTTGAATAACCTAAATAAGTGCACAAAGTAAAATAACATTTTCCCTAACCATTTCAAAACAAAAAGGAGTTGCTTAACCAAGATGCCACAATAAATTGCAAACCAAGTTGTCATAATATTTGAACAGTGACCATCATCCAGCAGTGATCAATGGATGATAAAGCACACTCAAACAACATAAAAATCATAACTTAGACCCTGTTTGGTAACACTGCCAATTTTTGTTTTCTGCTGCTGTGTTTTTTTAAAAAAATATGAGATGCAGCAGCAAGAAATGTGTTTAATAACCCTGTTTTGTTTCTGGGTATCTTACAAAAAAAAGGGTAGCTGCCACTTTGTAAGTAAATTTAAAAGCATCAAAATGATTCTGCGAAGTAGTGTTGCGGAAAGAAATGGGCCCTGTAGCTGCTACAGGGCCCACTTAAGTTATTACAGGCCTCTGTCTTAAATAACAGAGGCGACACATCTCTCTCTAATGTAACATCTCACTCTCAGCCATCTCTCTCTCACTCGCAAACATCCATCTTCTCACTCTCATCTCACTATACTCTCTCTCCACAAGAAGGAAGCCAACTCTCACTCTCTTTCTTCACCAATTGAAGCATAGGGTGTGTTATCGGTAAAAACAAAAACACCCTAAGCTTCAAAAGGTGGAAAAAAAAAAAAAGGGTGACAATTGGCTTCCTTGTTGTGGACAGATGGCAAGAGATGAAGTGAGATGAGGGCGAGAGTGAGAGATGGCTGTTGAGAGTGAGACGTTACGTTAGACAGATAAAAAAGAGAGATGTGGGGCCTCTGCCGTTTAAGACTGAGGCCTGTAATAACTCAAGTGGGCCTTGTAGCCACCACAGTGCCCGCCCCGCTTCTTTTCAAAACACTATTTTGCAGCATCATTTTGATGCTTTCAAATTTACAAAGAAAGTGGCAGCAGTGCTGCATTTTTTTTTTAAAAGATGCCCAGAAACCAAACAGAGTTAACAAACAACAAGGCCTTAAATTGAAGTTGATTTTTTTTTACTTCCATGATTTTTTCTCCTTTTTCTTCTTTCTTTTTTGTAGCTAATAGCTAAGCACTCTCATGCCTCCACTGGGGCTTAAAACTTCAATGTCCCCTACTTCCACAAGGACAACAACTACAAATACCTTATGTTCAGGAGATCTTAAAATATACTGCATTTATAATGTTTGGCATTTATAGTGCTAAAAAAACTTACAAATCATCTAATAAGTACCTTATGTTTCATGTTCAGAAGATCTAAAAAAATTATGTGATTCTAGTACTACTGCATTTATAATGTTAGGCAATCACAATCAAAGTTAGAGTAATGCTAAAAAAAACTTATAAATCATCTAATGAGTTTACTATTCTAAAAGGGAGAACAAAATATATCCTAGAATTGTAGATCATTTTAGATCCAAATTTTAATAAATGTTACTCCAATTCCATGCTTCCAAAACTCAGCATCAAAGAAATTGGGATCAGAATGCTGCAGATGTAAATGGTGAGTCGGTACATTCACTGAAACATTAAAACAAGAAATTAAATTAGTAGAAAAATGCCCATTTCCTTTCTTTCCTTTTGTAAATCTTCATTTCCTTACTTGAAAATACATATACATTGCCTTTGAAAGGAACTATTAATCCTCTGACCTCCAAAGCATTAAATCCATGCTTCCTAACACAACATATAATGTAATTCAAGCAAAGAAAATGCAAATGATCTAGTGCATTTACAATCTAATCAGTAATCGCAAACACGAGTTCCATAACAGTGCATCGAACTTCAATATAACCCTAAAATTCACATACCACGAAACCAAACCATTCGAAACTTAAATCCTATGTATACACACACATATAAAGGTATATATAACTAAATCTATATATGCATGAGTGTATATATGTAAGCATGATGGAACTGAGAAATAAACCAAATTACCTTGCAAACAATCACAATTCTCAGCCTCTTTGCGAACAACATCAAGAACGGCATCGATCAACTCGGCGCCTTCGGTGTAGTGACCTTTGGCCCAGTTGTTTCCGGCACCGGACTGGCCGAAGACGAAGTTATCGGGGCGAAAGATCTGGCCGTACGGGCCGGATCTGATACTATCCATGGTTCCTGGTTCGAGATCCATGAGAACAGCCCTAGGAACGTAGCGGCCGCCGGAAGCTTCATTGAAATAAACGTTGATCCTCTCGAGTTGAAGATCGGACGATCCATCGCCCTTGTACCTACCGGTCGGATCGACGCCATGCTCGTCGCAGATCACTTCCCAGAACTTGGAACCGATTTGGTTGCCGCATTGGCCTCCCTGAACATGCAAGATCTCTCTCATTGTCTATCTATTGAAGTTCAGATGGTGATGTGATATGAATGAGGGAGGACAGAGAAAGAGATCTAGAGAGAGAGTGTAAAGAGAGAGAGTAATAGAGGAGGGAAGGAGGAGAGAGGGGAAGGGATATTATTTGAAGCGGCATGTGATAGATGACAGCGGGAATACAGACACTACAACCGCTGGAGAGAGAGGGGGGTGGGGGGTGCACGTTAAGAGGGTGAGCCCCACGTGCGTACTGTTGATATTAGCGCATTCATTTGGGCATGTCGGTGCGCAAGTTACCCGCAATGGTTTCACGATTTTTACGGTTGGGGTGGTGGTTGACGATTGGCGAGGGTTGTGCGTTTTTTTGGACACAGGTTCGACCCCATTTGGATCATTATTGAATCATATACAAATTATACCATAGACAATAAATTTTAAACAAATAAAAATTAAAAAAAGACAAAAATCATGCAAATCATGACAAGGATTTGGTCGTTGAATCAAAATCCTCCCTAACTTAGAATATGGAATCTTGGTCCTACTAAGTAAAAAAATATTTTGAAATGGTGACACGAGACTGTTTCTCGGAGTTATAGCTTGTAAAAGTAAATTAATACAGTAGAACTTTTCACCATGTATAGATTTTTGAACGATCAGTGATGCAAAACCGAGGAAGTAGGTAGATCCACTGCAGGAGACAAATTAAATATGTTTGTTAAATGTTTTCTTTTTGTTTTCGCGTGCAGTATCTTTCATTAAATGTATTTATATAGAATACTCATAATGTTATCCTTTTTCCCTGTATTTTTTTGAGTCTCCTTAGTAGCACAAATGTGTCACAATTCTAATAAAGAGAACACATATGCAAACAATGACATTTTTTCTATACACTTGCATATACACACACACACACACACACATCCACGAACAACAATCCATATATTGCTTAAGAAAAAAAAATTATTATGATTCTTTAGTTGGTAGGTTACTTTACAAATCTGCTGGAGCAAATGCATCTTGACGTTACACAAATTCTTCCTAAAAGCATACCAGTTACCAACATCATCACAACATAATTGTTTAAAAAAAAAAAAAAAAAAAAAAAAAAAAACATCATCATCATCCATCATAACATACCCAATTTGGTTGTAATCTTGTAAATTCCCCAGAATTACTTTTCCTCAACACAAAAGTCGGTTTACCATGCTCCATAACCTTTTTTGCGGGGATATATTACAATGTCGAGAACATGGTTCGTGCTCACTGTGATTTTGAAGCAGCAACATCACATAAAGTAAATGAAATTCGCAACCATATCAACAAATAAAACCATATAGCTCAAATAAAACAATATTACATCGCTGTACTGATGAGGGCGAACTCAAGGAACATTAATGACCTTCCCAAGACGGGGCACTATCGTTGCTGAAGCATATTCTCATTGCAGTACTTCTTGAAGTTCAAACATTCTTCCACAAGATAATCACTACCAAAAAATGATTCAGAATCACGAGAATTTGGCATGCAAAGAGACATTAAGTCATAGAAGGAATTGAAAGAACTTACAAGAACCGTTCAGCCATTTCTGATGCTTCCCATCTGGGACTCCAGGGAAAATCTGTCAAAATAGGTGACTTGATGGGCATACCATGGTAACTAAAATGCTACATTAAAGAAAATAGCCGGATCAGTAAATGAAAATTTCATATAAGCCATCAAAATAAACAAAATAAGGGGGGAAAAAACTAAATTTCATAAACATAATGTCAGAACCAACAATCTATAGACATTGCAAACAAATTAAACACGCACAACTAGCCTCCGACATTGCTAAAACCACCATCATTAGTAGATTATTGGTGTAATCACAATGTTTTCAGTACAAGGCTCTAGGAAGCAGGCCACCAAAAAGAAGTAATTTGTACACAATTTTTATTGATAAAGAAGTTACCAAAATAACCAAAAGTTTTGAACGATGGAGCCAACCAAAAAAAAGTAAAGTTCAAAAGCATATAAAGTTCAAAAGTTGACAGCTGATGTATTTGTGACTGACGGCAAAGACCACCTGCTTCCAAACAATCATTTAGGGTATCCATGCCTTTCAAGAAGTACTTGACCTAAATGGACACCCCAAAAAAGGGCCCTTGTGCTGACATTTAAATTAGTAGAAACCAAGAAACATAAAACATGCTTCTTCCGCACACATGCATTTATTGTTTCAATGTACAAAGGGGTTAATAGGCATGCATATTTTAATGACACATGGCAACAGATTTATCTATGTCAGCAAGTGAGTTATCTATCTCACAAATATGCCAACAAATTATTGGTTTACTGATACAAATCAATACTCCTAAAAGATGTTGGTGATTGAATTGTGTTTCTTACTAAACTAATATATTGAAATAAAGCAAATGTTCAAGGAAAACAAGGAAATTATCACATCATCTTCAAAGTGCTTTATTTTTAGATAAGAAACTGAGAACAAAGAGAATTCGACTGTGAATTGTGCATGGCAGTGAAGCTACAAGGAAAGAAAATTAATTTGGGACTAAATAATTTTCATATTCAACCAGACCACATCCACAAGAAAAAATTGCACCAGCATGGCTGAATCAATAAAAGTCTAACCACTTTTGTACGGATACAATAACAAATATCCATAAATACATAAATCAGATTAAAAATTGCTATTACCTGAGAACTCTGAAGCATCAGAAGTGGTTGTTGCTTGGGGAACTGTAGTGGAAGGGAAAAATGCACCTAAGGCATTCATACTCTCATGATCAGAATTTGCATAAAGTAAAAACAAGGCAATGCAAGAAATTAAGCTATAAAATAGGAAAATGCAAGCTATAAAATGAGTTCTACACTGAAAAGGTTGAAATATGAAAAAATTGGGAAAGAATAAACAAAAGCCACTTAATTGACGCTACAAGGACAGATTCCAAAAACGTTCTTAGTAACCAAAAAGAGGTTTCACCAAAAAGACAGTGCCAAAACAAAATCCCAGTTGAATTTAGAAACTAAAGTTACTACAATCATTACCTGAGTGGCACAATCCCTTCCTGAACCTTGAAAAGTCTATATTGACTATTTACTAGTTAAAGCAAATTCAATTCACCAGTACTAGGTGTTTCCTAAGAGTTATATATCTACATAAAACATTGTTTGCATAATAAGATACCATAAAAAAAATTATTCAATCAAACCAAGTCAACGAAACTTGGTTCCAACTATTGCACTCACAACTTAATCATGTTTCCAATTCAGCTCTACCTAAAGCATCCACAGTTAAATCAATACCCTTTTTCATAGTTTTGCCCTCATCTCCAACTTAAATCTGATTGCTATTCTGCAATGGAGTCTTCATCAGTCAACATCACGCAATCAAATTATCTAGCGTGGTTTTTACTCATCTTTTCCCTAAGTGGTGCCAATTCTAACTTTCCACAAATTCGTTCTTTTGTCCCACAATTATTAATCCATCTTAAAAACCTCCTCCCCCTACATCTTACACAGGCAGCAACGAATCCACCCCTACTTTTACAACCCTTGTACACAGTGCGGTCACCAGCGATCAACAAGCCAAGTTTCCAAATGTACCATGGATGATATCATGGACCATGATCTATGAAGCAACAGATATGGACATGGGACACGAGTACGATTCGGACATGGCGATACAACAAATCTCAGAAAAGTAGGACATGGATAAGGCAGGGATATGTTCAAAAATAGTAATTTATTACTCTACTTATTATAATATATATAAATAATAATTTTGTTCATTTTTTTACATAATCATGAATGAAACCACTAATTTGGAGCTTAGAGCTAGATGTCTGTCATTTTTGTTTACTCTATATTTTTTTTTTTCCTAATTAACCCCTAATATATTTCAAATTTCATTAAATCCCATTCTTAAAAGAAAAATAATTACAAAACCACCTCGTTGTGTCTTGAAAAGTGTCCACAATGGGTTCATGCCGTGCCCAACCAAAAAATGAATTAGTCAAAATTTCATGACACATATAGCCATGTCGAACACATGTCCAGACCGTTTCTAGGGGTGGCAATTTGTGTTTGTATCGTGTCAAGACATGGGTTATCCTTTTATATGGGTCAACAAGAACACGACACAATTATTACATAGGTAACACGTCACGATACACATAACCCGTTTAATAAATGAGTCAACACTTGACATGACACGATAAGACACGCTTTAAGTCATTTCTGACACAAACCTGACACACTTAGTTAAACAGGTTATAAATGGATTTGAGGGTCAAACACAACACGTTTAACTACCGTGTCAATTCGAGTCGACACGAACACGATTAAGCCAAACCCAAACCCACCCCTAGCCGTCATAGATTAAGCGTGTCATGTCAAATATTGCCACCCCTAACTGTGTTGCATGCGTGCCTGCATGTCTAAGTGTCCGATACAGCCACAACACCCATATGAGAGGTGTTTGTGCTTCCTAGACCATGGTTTGTGTTCCATTCTTGATCGAAACTCCAGAGAGAACAATCACATAAGTGACCTGTGTAATTTTACTCCTTTGATGATCTCTCATAAATTCCCAAAGAAATCACAAAAAGTTTTTCTCAACGCTCTCACAAAAAGTGTCGCTATCCGACACGGTGTTAGACATGGGACACGGAACCATCATAGAAGTGTTCGTGAGCATTGGTGCTCCACTCTCTACCAGCCAAGCATTGGTACTGGGAAATTCAGCATTGATGGCTAACTATTTGGGTCATGCAAGCATAGGTTGTTCTTGCTAATCAAACATGATTTCAGAGTGCTCAACTTTCTTGTCTTTCAAAACATTTTGTTTTTTTTTTTTTATATTTATTTTTATCAAACTTTGAAGCTTCCTAATCAAAATCAAAGCTTCCAGACTCATTCCAAATAAATTAAAATTCAATTCTAAACTTATTCATCAAAAAAAAAAAAACAATTCCAAATTACAAACTAGTTCTAACTTCAAAGACAAATATTTAGCTAACTTTAAAGGATTCTTCAGGGAAATTCGAAGCCACCAAAAGTATTAATTAACATTTCCAGTACTATGATTGTAGGAGATTGAAGAAACATGTTGGTGCCATCTTTGAACTCCATCTTCAATTACATCCTTAATGTCAATGGTGGATCATCCAATAAGGTTATACAATCCTATTAAACTAAGACTTTTGCTCACAAAATACAAAAGATGATAGCATGTAATCCTGCAACTAGCATATAATAAACTAGTTATTCATGATGGATGGAACTATTTTGTACATTAATTTCTCAGAGTTACCTCTTAAGGATACACCTCATGCACTTCTACCGCATTAGTGATGAACTAGACTATTATCTCTCTATAAGAAATAATTTTTTTAGAAAGAAGGGTCCCAAAAAAGGTGTGCGCTCAATGAAAATCCAAATTCTAGTACTCTAAACCAAGTGACTGAATGGATTCAATTTATAGACTTGATGTACGTTTAGTAACACAGGCACTGAAATTAATATGGTTGGTTGTTCTACGGCATCTGTGAGGATGATCTGGTACTAACTCTTGAATCCTTGGCCTTGAGGCATTAGAATTCTAGCTCATACACCCATCGAGAAGGTACCGAGGAAGATTTAGTACATTTGGTTCATCTGTTTTAAAAAATGCAGCTGTAGGACCTAACATTTCCTTTCCCCTCTTTCTAAATTCAATGGAATCTAATGGAAGGTTGTGCATAAGCATCTCTATCCCCCATAAAGATATTCATATGTATCTGTATGCGTTTGGGTAGATGGAAATACCAAGAGCCTAGCTCAAGTTCCGACATGGGAGGTTGGGGTTCATTGTTCAAGTTCCCATTGGGAGACGAGTGACTGTGTGAGCATGTTTGATGTGTTTGTTCTAACCTATCCAAAGCAAAAAAGGATAGCCGGTAGCTCTTAAGAGCCATGAATTGTCCCCATCGTTGAGATGAATTTAAGTGTGCCTTAGCAGTATGTAGAGTGACAAAATCTCTGTGAATGTACGTCAATACATCTAAATCTCATATGTGGTAAATTCTATGGCAACACATGGCAAGTGGAAATTCAATAATTCAAAAAAAAAAAAAAAAAAGAGCGGAGGAAGTTGAATAAAATTTTTTGACAAGTAAAAGTTTTTTTTAATTAAAATAATTTAATTTTCAGCTACCCTTAATTCTCCTTGGTTACTGAGAATTGTAGCTTAAATTTCAAATTATGTTTCCCAATTGAAATTTATTACCAAACCAGTCCAGCTCAAGTCAATTAGCTATTGAAACAATTTCGATGAGAACAATATACATCTAAACTGAATTTTTTACCCTTTGCAGTTTGCAAGGATGCTGAGAACAATATGCTCGCTTAAAGTTTTGTTATGATTCCTTCTGCTCCACCATTTTCTAACAACTTCTAAAATACTTTCATCAATCTATTTCATTTGCAAGAATCACACTCATAAAGTACACATTTTTCTTTACTTCATGCAGTACCTCAAATCTGTTTATAAAATACTTTCATATCTATTTCATTTGCAAGAACTAGACTCATAAACTATATATTTTTCTTTATATTATGTAGTACCTCAAAGGATCAGCAACAATTAACTTATCACGCAACCGCTTACTATTTTCCACTATCCAGGCCCCCAGGGAGTGAACATTAAATGTATATAAATTGCTAAATTCTGTAACACTTTATCAAGTAATAATAGCGGAAGATTTGTCCACCCACCACCACCACTACCCATTCTTGTGTCTATATATATGATATATATCAATAAAAACCTTAAGTATGAGAATACAGCCATACTGCTGTAACACAGATGGAAATGTCACTCTTCCAAGTCCTTTCGCTAGAAATCTACCAGCATCGATCACATGGACAAGTAAAAGAATGCATAGTATCAGTAAAGGCTTTAGCTGCCTAGTGGTACTTCCTCACCTTCCAAAGTGGAACGTCAAGGGTTCAATTCCCCGTAGGGACAGAGTGAGTGTGTTGAGTTTCAAACTAGGAAAAATAATGCATAGTATCACATGCTAAAGAGAATGAAAGGCCATGTTAGTTGCACATCAAGTTAGTAAGATGTATAGCACGTTGATGTTGTTTAAATTAACTAGTACATAATGAAAAAGTTTTCATCATATGTGTGTGTGTGTGTGAAATGATGAAGACTACTGCATACCAGAAACGAAAACAATCCTGAGGCAGCCAGAAATGTTGCCTTTCTGCAAAAAACCTGGCAAGTAAAGCAAGGAGAACTAAGCAGTTTGTTTAGCTGGTTTATATACTCGAGTCCCATAAATGTAAAAAAAATCTTACCGGATCAGCTTCTACGGGCCTTCCAAAATGAGGAGCTAATGCCTCAATAAACTTCCTTCTAGCTTCAATAAGTGAAACTGCATCTCCAATCTTTGTTGAAAAGAAAATAATCAATTATAGTTGTGGAGCATCAATAATTGGTGTAATTGACTTTTTTTAAGGCATCATTACATAAAAGAATGGTTTAGTTACAACTAACCTGTGATGCTAGCATCTCCTCTAAGTTGGGAAGATATTCAGCCATACACCTTTGGAGGGGAGAGAGAGAGAGAGAGAGAGAGAGAGATTAAGATTTGCTATTACAGGCTACAGCAAGATGCCTCTTTCTGATAAAGGGAACAGGAATAGAAAGGCAGAAATAATGAACATTACATTCCATCCAACCATGGAGGAAGCTTGAAATCTTCGATTGAAAATAGAGCCTTCAACTCAGAAGAAGCTACCAATTTTAGGCGTGGTGCCGAAGGGACAGATGAATACTTTCTGCCCACAGGATATATGGCCTGCATCATCATGAATTCAATTCAAACATATTAGGAAGAAGCAAGCAAGAAAAAGAAAAGGAACGAACAAGTGAAATGAAATAAAAATAAAAGAATAATTTACACAGACCTCCCCTATGGTTTGCCATAATTACAGGCAGCACCCTTCCTGTTTCGGAAATTACACGGACCTCCCTTATGTGTAACTGACCGTCAAATGCACTAACGGACACGTCAAATTTACTGAAATGCCCTCAATTTTCTATGATAAATGACTAAAATACCCATACAAATAATATATATATATAGTGTGAATAAAAATGAGATGAATTTACTTATGTACCCTAACCATTGTTTCCAATGGAATATAACCCGAACTCTGGTGAGCTTTTGATCTAGTCTGAGTATTACAGGTGGCTAAAAATAGTTACAGAGACCTTGATTTGGCACCAAATTCTCATCCATGAAATTCAATCCAGGGCAACTATTATGATTTATGTATGAGAGTGAGGTGGAGAAAGACAGGAGTGGATTTTTTTGCAATAACTGGCTGTGAGCATGGGAATTGCGTTTCCGAGCAGAGGGCAGAGAGGAATGAAAATCTATCATGCCTATTTAGTGAAGTTTTTGCTCTAATTGCTAAATTTCGGTCCGATATCTCCCAAGCCGTTCTCGATCTCGCTATATTCAGATCCAAGAGAAACTTTCGCTCTTCGTGATCGGATATGGCGCTGATCTCGATGTTTGAGGTGAGATCAGTGGCTTTCTAGAAGCAATTGCTGGCGAAATCGAATTTGCGAAGGTCGTGCCAGATCAAGCCGGTTTTGTAGTAGAACGAGGCCGACTTGAACGCCGGCGAGGAAGAGCAAATCGGCAGATACTTGCCAGCGGTGTTTTTGAGGTCGATGCAGGAGTTCCAGAGGCAATAGCTGAGTTTCCATATCTAGAGCTTGACCGAGTTCAGGAACGTAGAGAGTGAACTCAGCTGAGTCAGTCTGAGTCCGAGGTCGGAGGAGAGAGCCTCTGACAAGGGAGATCCCAGCTAGTGGCTTTCGAGTTCTCTGATCGAGGACTCGATTTGTGAGAGTACGTGAGATTGGGATTCGTGGATGCTCCGACGGAAATCCGACGACGATAGCTCTGAGATTTTCATTTTTGGCGGGAAATTGAATCCGGAAAACTGAAGAGAGAGGGCATGTGATCTTTTGGGATCTTTTGTTTTTCACTAAATAGGCATGATAGTATTCCGAGCAGATCCTCGCCGCCATCACCACTGCTAAACCAGATGAAGGCTTGATATATATATATCTTTTAAATATAATATCTAATTATATAGACAAGGCTATTTTCAGCATTTCATAAAAAATAGTAGCTGATGTCATCATTTTCCGTCGTTGATTGCCGTTGACTCTAACAGAAGGAAGGTCCGTGTAGGATATTTTCAAAAGTAGGGGAGGTCCGCATAATTTCCGAAACAGGAAGGGTGCTGCCTGCAATTATGGCAAACCATAGGGGAGGTCTGTGTAAATTACCCAAATAAAAATTGTCCTCTAAAAAGGATTTCATTTTGTCCTACTTGTATTGTTCCCTTTGTTTAGTCAATCATAAAATGTTTCTTAAATATATAGGTGTTAGACAGTTAAGAGTGCACAATTTTACAAACTACATTTTGAAGACAAAATAATGTGAAGAATAACCTGTAAATATATCTTTTGCTGATGTCGCCAGGTGCACCCAATGACCATTTTGTTTATATCTATTTCCAGTAAAGGCACTGCAAACTTTACCTCTTCTGGCTATACTACAGTACATAGTGAGAAAACCACCAACATAGTCAAAACTAAAGAGAAAATTATAATTGCTTCTTATAAGCTCATAAAATCAATTAGAAAGATGCAACCCTCTTAAATTATACCTTTTCAACACCTGAGCTCATACACATTTCAATTCCCTGCAGCATGATGATGATTGTTTAAACAATATTCATAATCAAAGCCCAATAGAGTAATACTCTGGAAATATGGATTCAAAATATATGTGTGTGTGTGTGTGTATATCTCCAAGTTAAGGCAAACAAGTATTCAATTCATACAATCAATCTAAGTTATATGGATCTCAAAAAATACGGGAAGTACAGTCGCGTCTTTTGAGAAGTAACCAATTAGACCTTTTTCCTTTATTGTTCCTTGAATACAGAATGTACAATGTATGTAGAGAAATGATGTGATTTTAAGAAACTCAATGACTTTTGTGATGAATCGTGTCTTATGGAAATTAAACAATAGAAGTTTTTGCTGTTTCTGAATATAGAATGGACTCTGTGATGCAGAGAAGAAGTATGAGTCGTATGACTATTGAGATGAGTCCTGTCAATTGGGAATGAGCCAATAAAACAACTGAATTAGATATATATATATATATATATATATAAATAAAACTTTAAAGAAAGAAAATCTAAAAATGGCATACGAAAAATAAAAATCCTGTTGACATTTATGTAATGGTATAAAATATATATATTATAGATAGTGACTTCAGGACATGTTCGTTAAAACATACATATGACAGACCTTGCGTGTATTCCTATATAAGCAATGTGGGCTATAAATGATGCATTAATACACATGATAAGCATAAAATGGTGGCACTGCTAATGTTGTTTATGCTACAATTGCACAGAGTACATTAGCAACCCCAGCCAGAAAATGGAAAAGGGAAAAAGGAGGAAAATAAGGATAATTTATCCTCTCACATACTAGAACCAAGTTTCTTTTTCTTTTTTCTTTCTGTTATTTTTTTAAATGCTTGGTGTCCCAACTTAAATCCAACTAAATTTCGCTTTTATTTAGTTTTTGAACACACAAACATAAGAGTGATTTAGTGAAAGGGTAGGTTACAGATGAGAATCTACGATTTCTAAATCAACCTACTAACCAATACAACAAACTTGCAAAACTCATTTTACATGTGAAAAGATAAGTTGTATTCTCATGTGCAGTGTCTACCTTCTTGTAAGCTACTGTCTTTAGAACAGCACAGCACAACCCATATTTTAGCCTTGCCAATTTTTGCCTCAATATTTGTGTCATATCCTACTCAGTGCAATCTGAGGATGTCCAGAATTAACTAAGCTGATCAAATTTGATATACAGTAAGCCTTACCCCAAAATCTAATAGACAACCCTTGCCTTACTAACTATCATCGACACTATTCTCATTTTTTATTGTAATCCCCATCATAATGTTCCATAATGAAAACTTGCAGGTGTGATGTTACACGCATCAGCTAAAGCACATTCTTTTCCTATGATAATTTTGGAAGGCATAATGTTTTTCTCACTTGCTAGGTCTGATTATGACACAATATAATATAAATTTCCAATTTCCTGCTTTCAAAATCCCAAGCACATGGATAAAAAACACTAGCACAGAAGACAAGCATCACCACACACCAAAAGAATGAACTAATTTCTATAGAAACTCCAATCATGTTCCATTTCTTAAAAAAAAAATCACTTAAATAATAATTTGACAAACTACCTTCCTTGATGCCTAGTGCTAAGTTCAAATTTCAGGACATGGATGTAAAACACTAGCACAGAAGACAGGCATTACCACACACCAAAAGAAAGAACTAATTTCTATATAAGTTCCAATCATGTCACATTTCTTTAAAATTTATCACGTAAATAATAATTTGACAAATTACCTTCCTTGATACCATAGTGCTAAGTTCAAATTTTAGTCTATCGTCGTCCACGTCTCCTACACGCTTCCTTTGGTAAGCCATATATAATTCCCTACACAAAAATAAAATAAAAAATTTATTTATGGCAACAGCAAACTACTACCAAATATCAAAATATAGAACTCATTAAGGAGCATAAAAGAACCCTAACCTAAGTTCAAGAATGAGAGACAGTAGTCGAGTATGGTCTTTGTTGTTCCAATCACTCAAACTGCTCTTTGGAGACTTCAAATCCCCTTCTTCACCGGCAGAGTGAAATGGACGAAAAGTTTCATCATCAGGTCCAAAAATGATATCTGGTGCCAACAATGGATACTGTCCGTTGTATATAACATCCCCTGAAATTAAACCATCAAATAACTAGGAATCGCATGCATGGTTGCGTATATAGACACACACACATGTATGTAAGTGCGTATATGTGATAAAAATGGGACTGACATTTGATAAAATCGAGGCAGAAGGGGATGAGTAAGGTGAATCGATCGAGCAAGCCATGGTGCTTAGAACCAGACCACATCTGTTCAACCTGAAAGATCAAATCCATGAGAGATACATGGAGTTTCTGAGCTAGTGTTTTCAAATTGATGATATATGTGCGTATGTATATATGTATATATATAACGAGAATGAAACCCTAGGTAGTAGTGTATCACCTTGATGGAGACAGGGGAGTGAGTGAGGAGATAATTGAGCTGCGCGCCGATGAGGGGAGGGACTGTGTCGATGGCCATTGTAGTCTGTGCTTTCGCTATTCCTTCGCCCAACGGTTGGATTCAATCGATCTACTAAATGGTAAGTGATCAGAGAAGAAAATGCCTCTAGAAACTGTTGTTGAAAAACAAAAATGAACCTGTATATATATATAGAATTTTAAAAATTAGGTTGGATATTATTTACATAAAGTAGTAACATAAAAGGCATTAAATTTTGAAATAAAATAATACAAACATTTTGCAATTTCTTACATATTATAAATATGAAGTAAATTAAATGTGAGAAAGTACTACTCATTTTAATTGGCGTTGAAATTAATTGGGGCCTTGGAGGTCTAAGCCAATCTATAAGTGTAACTGCAAAGAAATTGAACTTGATATCAACAATTTAGGTTTTACATGTATGACTTAAATTTTTTTTTCTTTTTTCCTTTGACTTATTAGCATGAACGCGTTTATGAATTGATATTTGTGAAGAAGTTTGAAGAGACAAGTGTAGATAGTCTGTTTAATAATTTTTATCTAGTTAATCTTAAGTTATGAGCTCGATATTAGATACAAGAATAGTTTAACGAGTTCAATAAGTATAAGGGTATATTATTTACTAATTTTTATCTGATTAATCTCAACTTCAAATTTTAGAATTAGCTCAAAATTAGATTCAACAATGATTAAAGGAGCCCAATACCCAATACGTTTAATATTAAGTCGAGCACAAATATTCTTCCAAATTGGATTCAAGAATGTTTAAAGGAGCCCAATTAGTTTAATATTAAGTCGAGCACAAATACTCTATATATAAGCTTGAACTCAATCATTTAAGAATTTATAATCAATGTTTTTTTTTAATGAAAGCCTCAATGTCTCAAATGTCATGAATTTAATTTCTCTATTAAAAAAATTCAACTATTTCTAAGGTCTCAAGCTTCTCATACACCAAATTACCCACCATCTTATGAGGATGGTTAATCTCATTATTCATTGATGTTTTAACAATTTTTGAATTTTTTAGAAGTATAGTTTTATATTTTTTTTTATTTAAAATAATTTAATTCAGTTGTATTTTAAAATTTTAAAATGGAAAAAAGAGATCCACTTTAGCAAACTGTTTACTCCACCAGGAAGGGTAAAGTCGTCAATACGAATTGGTAGAAACCCTAAAACCTTTCCCTTTAAATCACCCTCGCGTGGTACCAACATATTCGCAGCCAAAACCTTGTGCAGCTGCTGCGTGTATGATACTTGGAGTATTGCGACCTCTGTTTGATTTTCTCTCACGCTCTATATATCTATCTGTTTGATTGTGTATACACACATATGTATATATTTATGTATTATGTGTTTTTTTTTTTTTTTTTCTCTCTCTCCTCTCTCATATATGATTCTATAGAAACAGCGAAACCAGATGACGATTTTGGATAAATTTCTCACGACGGTCGTCTGAGACACAAAGTGTCATAACTGATGCTATCATCCAATGTTTCTGATGGTTTAATATATATTGTTTATGGTTCTGATTATAACTTATATTTTTTGTTATATATATATATATATATAAATTAAAATTGTTGATAAGAGCAAGCATAATGATGATAAACAAAACATATACCGATTGATTTCATGAAAGGAATTCATAACCTCCTACTCATACTGAATGCTTGCTTATATTTTGTATTCAATTTGTGATTTGCTTATATATATATTAAAAGTATTTTTTTTTTAAGGAAAAAAAAAAAAAACTATCTGTTTAGATTACTGAACTGGCACGATGAGGATGCATATTTTATGATGAGATCGAAAGATCTTTGAAATTTTGATTTTTTTATCCAATAGTCCTTTTCATTCTGAGTGCCAAACCTGAGATATTTTATTATGATTTTTTTGGCTTTTGATTATATATTTCTATATTAATTGTTTTTTATAGTACTATTTGTTAAATTTAAACACAAGTAATTTCAATTGTCAAGAACGGAACTCAATATTTAAGCCATAATTTATTGTACTAAAAGAAATAATGATAAATCTTTAGGAAAAGGGATTTTGTAAGGAAAAAAAATATAGGGAATAGGACCTTTTAAGAATACAGAAAAGAATATATATTTGGGATTTTTATATATAAATGGGGTTAAGGCTATTGAGTCAAAATTTTATATTTTTAAAAAATGAATTTGATCAAAAAGATGACTGGGCTTAAAATATCCTTTTTAATATTAATTTTTTATCACTATTCACAAAAAATATATTTATTTTTCCTAACAAAAATAACACCAAATCGCATACCAAACAGATTTTTGCTCATCCATTGACCAATACTTGCGACTTAAAGATGTACTCTTCTATTTATTTATTTAAAATAAGCAAATATATAACAATAATCTTTAATTCAAAATGACACGTCATTTACATTGGTGTAGAGGAGACGACTCATGAGGAGGCACCAATTGCTTACCAAATCCGTTCACGTTGAGGGGACACGAAAGTGTCAAATATTATTGATTTTTTGGTTGGTATGCTGAATCTTGGGTTTGAAAATATATAAAACATACATATACTAATATTAAAATAATATAAATCTTAATAAAATATATGTCACAATTTTTATAATTACACCATGTCCATTTTTTAAATTATGAAATGTCTCCGGCCTTTATAAAAATTAAAAATAAAAATTTTTAAGATAAAATTATCCTTTACCTTTTAACCTTTTCTTATCTCTCTCCTTTTATTCTCCTCACCTCAATTCCCTTATATAAAAAAATAAATAAATAAATAAATAAAAATAGGAATATATTATTTTCTTTCTTTTTGGACTGCAAAACAAATAATATTATCACTTGATATCAATATATAGCACGTATATATACAGTTAAAATATGATTTTAAAAAAAGGAAATAAAATATATATATATATATATAGTTAAAATATAATTAAAAAAAAAAGAAATAAAATATTTTTGGCAATATAGAATGTTATTGATATAAGGGATAAGACGAGGAGAGGAGAAAAAAAGGAGAGAGATAAGAAAAGGTTAAAGGGTAATTTTGTCTTAAAAATTTATATTTTTAATTTCCATAAAGGCAAGAGATATCTCATAAATGAACGTGTAATTATAGGAATTGTGACCAATAAGTAACGCGATTGTCTTTTCATAGTGGCGAGCACGACTGCAATTAGCATTCTTCATAAAATAATAGTTTTTGTGCCCTTATCAGCCACCGTCTTCCATCACCTCTACTGCCACCACCATCACCTTCCACCACCACCGACTTCCACCACCCCACCTCCACTACTTTCCACCACCACCACCATCGTCACCTCCACTTCCTTCCACCACTACCACCTTCCACCATTGTCACTTCCGCCACCACCTCCACCACTATTACCACCGTTTTCCATCACCTCCACCGCAATCACCTTCCACAATTCCACCTCCATTGCCTTCCATTACCACCACCGTCACTGTCTTTCACCACCCCATCTCCACTGCCTTCCACCATCACCAGCATCATCACCTCCATTTCCTTCCACCACTATCACTACCACCACCACCACCTACACCATTGTCACCTTCCACCACCACCATACCACTGCCACTGCCTTCCACCATCATCACCTACACCACTACGGCCTTCCACCACCGCTTTCTACCAATGCTGCCGTTGCCTTCTACCATGGCCATTTCTTCTAAAAATTTAATAGAATAATGTTATTTTGTTAATTTAATTTATTTGTCACTAAAAGAGATATTTTGGATATTTTAATTTCAAATTCATTCCATTCTAAAATTTAAATTGATCCAACCAAACACTAGATTTCATATTTGGAACCAAAAGAATAGAATGAGAATGACCCATTTCAATCTCATTATATTTTCACTTGCATTCTATTACATTCCATTCTTAAATACTAAATGCAAAATAGTCTTAATATAAGAAGGCCGTTTGGATTGGCTTTTCAAACGCTGCTTTTGGCTTTTTGAGTTTGGAAGTTGTTTTAAGTAGTGTTTGGCTAATTTTTTTAAAGAGTTTTTGGGTCTTGAAAGAGCGTTTTGGAAAAGTTAGGGGTATTAATGAAACTTTTTAAATGACAAGCGTACCCTTTATATTATCTCATAACAAATTATAATTCCAACCGTATCCCTATTAAAAAAAACCCCCCTTAATTCTATTTCCAAACCTTAGTCTAAAAAAAAACTCACATCGGTGTTCTCTGACAACGTACATATTCCTTCATACTCACAAGAACGATCTATTAAGCATTCAACCAGAGAAAAAAATTGAAGAAGATTATTGCGGACATAACCGGTGGCTTTACTCCTTCAATCTTCCAATCTATCATTCGACCTTGATATTTCTTCTCTTGCCTATTTCTTTTTCTTTTTTTTCCCTATTTTCTCTAAATATTTTCGAAACTCCCCGATGAACAATCACTAGCTTTCATAGGAGTAATCACCATATTTCAACGCTGCATCCTACCGTCACAAATCTTTAATTTTTTTTTTCACATTCAAATTGAATTCCCTTTTGTGCAATAATGGATTCTAGTTATTTACCCAAAAATAATGTTTTTATTTATTTATTTATCAGATTAATTCATTCGCATAGGATTTCTTTTTTTATTAGATTAATTTCAGATTAATTCACCGTCATAGATCTTTCCTGTATTGCAATCTAACGTTGACCGTAGTAATATTTTTCTTTCTTTGTTTTTATTAATTTCCTTATAATATAATTAAGTTAATATAATTAAGTTTGTAATTATAAGGAAACAACAATATTATTCTAGGAAAGTCATAAGCATGAGATTAATTATTTTCTATTTGGAAGAAAAATTAGAAACCTTCAATATTTTATTATTCTTATTATTATATTTTGGTAGAATCAAAATGTTCAATTACAAAATTTTCTAAATCTTTAAATAGTTTTTTTGCAATTTTTTAATTGTTATTCTTATTGTTATTATTTATATTGTTAATTATTATGTTGCATATGGCATGTTGTGGATAAATTTGATTAAACTGAATGGATTATTTGTATGTCTTTACAAAAAGAGTTACAAAAAAACAAGTTAAACAATAATTTTAAAAAATACTCTATTTAAGGACAAAATAATTATTTTAGCAGTAAAAGAGCTTCCGTAAATATTTTGCCAAACAGATTGAAAAACTCTTCTGCCATTAAAAGTTATTCTAAAATATAATTTCCAAATACTAACAAATAAGCTAAATAGAAGTGACAGCTTTTGTTTCTCTTTTTTTTTTCTACGTAAAAGCAGAAGCAAAAGCTTTGCCTAACGAGCCCTAAGAACATTACCTACTTGCAAGGGTCTAAGTTTCATTTTTGAACAAAATTTCTTTTTTTCCTTTTTTTAAGTTTGAATGGTAATTATGTACAAATGACACGAATTGGATTGGCCTATCAATTTCTTGTAACAATATTAATTACTTAATGAAGGGTTGTGGTGAATTGAAGTGGCCGATCAATTTCTTGTAACAATATTAATTACTTAATGAAGGGTTGTGGTGAATTGAACACTCCATTAAGTGAACAACATTTACCCAACCACGAGGGCTCAATTGATGATAGCTTCAATTGGGTAGCATTTAAAAAGGAGGAAACCCCAAATGTTTATTTTACAAGAAAACTTTGATGGTACATGTATCAGTCCAGATCCCAAGCCTGCAACCATCAATAAGGAGATATTAGTACCCATCACTTGTCAAGAATTAAAAAATAAAAATAAAATAAATACATAACATACAATTGAGTTTTCAGGTAACCCATTTTCTATGGTTGATTTTTTAGAAATCCGAAGCACGCAGTGTTTTTGTATTCCGAGAGACAAACCAAGTAGATTCTACTACGCTGTTAATAACCTGGATTCTATTCTAAGTTCTAACCTGGATTTTGCCATCAGAAGAGCCAGCAAAAAGCATCTCTCCATCCATGTCTGCTGTCAAGGATGTAAGTTTTGCATGTCCACCACCACCCATTTTGAAGGAAGCAATTCTTGTCACCTTCTCTTTTAACCAAACCTCAATGATCCCACATCTTGTTGCTGTAAATATGAAGTCATTGTTTACTGCTACACAGTGGATGTCGAATCCCGTCGATATTGATCCTAATACTGCCTTGGTGGAGAGTGAGAATACCTTACATGATGCAAATGACAACACCCAAAAGTCAATCTCACCAATGGTTATGATTCCATTTTGAGAAATTATGAGTTAGCATGTGTATTGAATAGGGCTATGACCTTAAATAGAGCTGAATGGAAACATAGGATACATGTATCCTATCCCAAGTAATTGGGAAGAGGCATGATTATTGTTATTGTATGACAACCAAAAAAAATAATTATATACCTTTCCCGCTATGCCATCAACTGATGAACCACCCGCGAAGAGAAGACCATTGTGAATCTGCAGGGAGTGTATATTTTGTTTCCCTAACAATTTTTTTGCACCAGAGTAGAATGTGGTTGATGTGTGTTTCCCCAAATCCACCTCCTGCCATTTCATTCCAAATTTATATGAAAATTAGAAATCATTGTATGGCTTTCATAATTTTGATTGTGTTTGTTTCAATTTTTGAATTGTTGGGAGTTTGGCTAAAACAAATGATCAAATGCATTGAAATTGCAGATAGTTTTTACCTGGATACTGTAACCTGTACAACCACAATATAGTTTCTTGCCCTTCATCATGAGGCATTTGACATGTCTGTTGAAGTTTATATGCTTTGGTACCCCAGACCAATTGTAGATCTGTAAAATTTTGATGTTCAACACTAAAGCTAATACTGTCTTTTATATTATTCAACATTTCAACTCATAGTTTCTTTTATGGACATGTTAGTTGCTCAAAAAAAAATTAGGAGTGCTTACATTGACGCCGGTTGCGTGAGAGGAAAAGCATGCAACATCTGCATTTGCTGTCAACTTGTGCACTGCCTCTTTCACATCATGAACCTGGAGAGAGTGAATTTCTTCTTGTTTTATTGCCCAAACCTGTAGATGGAAAAGTTGAATAACAACTGTTTAGCTCGCTTCGGTGATCATTGGGCAAATTTACAGCTTAGAGCATACCGCTAAAGCCTTTTGGTTTCTTTCTACATTTTTAGATAAAATTCTTTTTGTGGGGACTAATTTAAACAGTTTGAGGGCTTAAAATCTCATGCAGGACATGAATTTTGATGGTAGGCAACTAGGTCAAGCACGTATATTACTCCAATAGTGCCTCTTATCTACTAATTGTTTTAAAGATACGGTCCAAGCTTTAACAGACTAATTTTAGATGGAAAGTGGGAAGCCTGGGGTTTTATATCGTCATTTTATTTGTCTTAGCTCCAAGTTATCTTTATGTATGATCAATTTTCTCACATTTCTGTGCAATACGATTTTACTCGAGACACACTTGTACAAGACACTACGCTTCAACAATATCACACACCTTGATGATGAGTAGAGGAGAAGGTATTGTATAAAGAAAGTCACCTCAGCACCTCTAACTTCGATCTGATCAAACCCCCAATTAATTTTTATATGCAATGAAACGACTAATGTTCATTTAATGACCTCCTCAACAGAGTTATCCTATCTTGCTATTTGTGATTCAGTCGAACTGAAAGGTTGCTGACAGTCCACGAGCACCTTGTAACCTTATGAATAGGCACTTGTAGCACAAGGATGTCTTCTCCTTAAAACTGGTTCATCACCAGCACAACACTTAAATTTAGATGCTATAATTTCAGTTTTGAGCCAGTACCCTCTTCCTATATCCTACTCAAAAAATTTGGCAAGTCAATATCATGCCACCAATTTGCCAAATGTCAAATAGGAACTGCATGAAACGGTAAAAAGGCAATCCTTTTTTACTTTTGTATCTTATTTGTGCATGCGTGTGTGTTTTTAACTGAAAAACAGCTTCACAAATTTATGATATGATTACCCGAATTGTTTTATCTGAGGAACCGCTGTACAATTTGTCATGTGAAGAAGGAACGTAGAGGCATGTGACAGCCTTTGTGTGCTCACGAACCTCCTGAATCAACCGTGGAACTTTTTTTCCAACATCCCACACCTGAATGCAAGACAAAGATTAACACTCGCATTACACAAGGTAATTATCAGCTCCAACTCGACATTATAAATGCACAAACAAACATGCTCATACAAAACAATACAATAGGAAATGTTATGCTTCTGTATGTGCATATGTGGAGAGACAGATGTCCTCTGATAGGTCCAAACCTTTATAGTTCCATCGGAATGGCCACTTATTACCCGGCCTTTTAGATGAACCAGTGATAGAACCTCGCCATTTATGAAGGAATCCAGTTCAAATGCTTCAGTACAACACCACAGCTCTGTCTGAAATACACAACATAGGGTTTGTCAGGACATCCTTAAATTTGAATGGCGCCATTTACAATTTACATAACATGTTAAAATTTTATCATTTTGAATGGAGTTATTTAGAAAAAATAAGAACTTTATTGTACTTCCTCCTACAGGATCATATTTAGGCTTTTTAAAATTAAAGAGTTTTTAATTTTTGACATGGTTACCCTTCTCCAAATGGCATCATTCAAACAAGCCCTAAAATTATGAAATAATTATCTGTTTATGTTGCTTAAAAAATCAATACGGTACGCATGGTCCCAAAACTCACAGGATTGACAGAGGGCAAGTTCATCAAGGCTTTCAGTACATCATTGACGATCGTGGAATTCCTCTTAAGCTTTTTCAAGGTCCTGTACAAGCATTTGGCGTACACCCCCAGTTCATCCAATGCACCTTAAAAAATTAGAACTCCAGGTTACTAAATATATTTACGGTCATAGTATTACTTATCAAAACAAAATATCACTCGGGGTACATGTGAATGTTTGTATCTTTATGTTAGCATTCTTATTCTAATTACCTTGATCAATGATGAAGCTTCTCAAAGCAATGGTTGCCAATATCTTCTCCTCAACGTTTCTTGATGATTGTAGCACATCTATGAACTGGTCGAGCAAAGACTTCCGAGCAACATCTCTTATGCCAGTATCGGGAAGATTATAAAGGACATATGTGAGCCATGTGGCAATTACAAGGCATGACTTTGCCATCTCTAAGGAATTACTTTTGAGACAATCTTCCAAAGCTTTAAATATAGCGCCCTTTTCATGGTTGCAAAGTACAAAAACTACCCTTTTCTCCCAAGTACTTGCAGCTTTTTGTTCTTCTTCCTATGCATAAGGATATTAAGATTTGGATAAAATAAATATGCAACAAATACAAGTGTTTAAACAATGCAAATAATGCATAAAAAACAAACCATTGTTTCTGTCAATTCATTTTCATGTGTTTTCGTCTTCTCTGCCTTCATTAAAGCATTATATGGTTGATCAAAACCTGCAATTTTGAGTAACCATGCTTCAGTGTAGGACTTTCCTGAGGCAGTTAGACGCCCAGAAAGAGATGATAACGCATCAAGAGCCATTTTTTGAGAATTTGGGAAGTCTTTTTTGCCAAGTGCTTCAATTAGTGCCTCTACAGCTTCTTCTCTGTAAATACTCATCTTTCGAGGTTCAACCTGGAAAAGAAATCCTAGGATCATTAACTGGATGGTATGATAGTATCATTATGTAAATTTAATAACACTATCTAAGAATTGAAGTTATTTAGGTTTCATTAGGGCAAACCAGAAGATCAAGCTGAAGAAGAAGAGTTGCAATGGCAGATTGCTGTTCCATTGGAGCCATCTGTAGATAGACAAGAAAGGTGTGCATGGTACTAAATGCTCCTTCATCCTTTATTATCTGCAAAAGTTGGTTGCAGAATGTCCTCCTGAAACACCATTAGAAGTGTAAACCTCTTCATATTATTGTTACACAGACACTCAGCAAGATCGGGAAAGATTGGATGGTTGAACTTATTCATATAGTTATTATTTATGAATGAATGGTAATGTAGAATGCAGATCAAACTTTAAAAAAATATGGAATAAAGGAAAGTAGCCATTTCTGGAATCAAAAGCTAGAAGACTATTAGAGTTGAAAGTTAAAAAATAAAGTTCTGTTAGATGCCTCCATATATTTGCATGATATCCCAGTAACCATAAGTTTGGACACTAATATCAATTTAGAGCAAAAGATTTGAAGCTTAATTATGCATAGATTAAGATTGGTATCTTAAGTAATTTAGCAACTTAATGCAGCTCAACTGGTTAGTGTTCTGATCACATGATGTCAAATCAAACCATCAGGTTGAACTTGTAGTAATTCGCAGTAGCAGGATAAGCAATCTGTATGTGTGTGTGCCTGCGTCTGCGTGGTGGCAAGCAAAAGCCAAAAGCATCTTTGGTAGATTGCCAGTGAGAGTAGCAACAGTGTGCAGGGTGGTGGAATTGATGGAAATGGTGGCAGTAGATTGATGGTATCACTGCCTTTTCCATTGGTGACACCTACCACCACCACTGATGTTTTTGTTTTTGTTTTTGTTAAGTACCACTGATATTATCTTGCAACACTGAAAGCAAGATTTCCCAAGACTGTTATATACTAGGAATTCTTCCAGAAGTAAAAATAGGATTTGCAAAGTGATTAAAGAAATAACATGTACCTGTTTAATCGAACTATCTCAGAGAGAAAATCTATACATATGCCTCTCACACTATCATTTCCGGAATGAAATAGTTCAAGAACAGGAGACAACTCAATTCTGCTTGCTATCAAGTTCCTGCAGCTCCTATCTGTATGGATGCAGTGTAACAGTACAGATACAACAGATTGCCTTCCTTCTACCCTATCCAGGCACTTAATCAAGGAAGGAATACCATTTCCAGATATAATACTCATAGCATTCACAGATCTGCTGCTTTCATCTCCTCCTGCTAGAATCTGCTCAAGTATTGCTACAGCTGCATCTTTGGGTTCCAAAACTAACTGAAGGTCATCTAGCTCTTCATTCTTGTTTAGAATAAGTTGGACAAGTGATGGTACAAGATCATAAGCTGAAAGTTGAGAGAACCCTGGCCTCAACAAATATATGAGTACTGCAGCCTCAACTAGACCGTTTTTTAGCAGAGCAGCCAAGCAATCAAAATCAGAATCTACGCTAGTAAGTGTCTCACCAACACTCTCATCTGTAAATATTAGCTCAGAAAGAATATAAATTGATGTTCTGAGAACTTCCCTGTTCAGTGAAGCTGACAGTATTTCCACAAATCCATTTACTATTGTTGGTTTAGATAAATAAGAATGAACCCCTGTTTCAGCTTTCGAGTCTTTCCATATCCTGGCTATTGTCAACACAGCTGCTTCACATTCTTGTAAGTTCTCCGAAGTACAGAGACACGAAATATAAGGTTTTAAGCTATTTATTATTGTTTCAACAGCAGCTTGAGATATTACACTGGTTGGTGATGTAGACACTGCAGCTCGCATAAATCTTCTGCTCCTAGTGTTATGATAATCATCCCTGCTCCTATGGATGGATAGATCAAATGTCCTAGATGGAGTGAATTTTGAAGGATTTTTTTTAGGAGAGGAAGTACTGAAGGAACTTCTTGGTGTTTCAGTGTATGAAAATTCCTGAGCGAGATCAGGATGCTGTTCTTTCCAGGAGGTGATTAGTCTCTTCAAAACATAGTTTGTTTTTGGCAGCATTGTAGCAGAGAGAGGCTGCCGCGTAATGGGGCATGTCGTATTTCCTCGTTTCATCCATTCTTCAATTGCTTTTCTTTCATATGTCTGACCAGTTTCAAGGGTAACAGGGTCGCAAAAAATCTGACTAGTGATGGGGCAGACAAAATCTTTTGGAGGTCTTGAATGAGAAGCCAATTTCTCGGACAACGGGAGAGAAATGCAACTTTGGCTTCCTTCGTCGCTTTCATTAAGAGAACTGCATTGTTGAAATAGACATGATTTTAAAATAATGACAATTCCTCTGATTGAACTTTGTTGGAGCATTCTTCATTGATGCCACAAGGCTGAGGAAGAGTGCAAATACAGAAAATCAAAGAAAGTTCAGATTACCTGTTTTCAAGTACTTGATTTGTCATATTTCCATAACTCATACCCCGTACATGGCCAATGTTTTTCCTACTATTTTTCTGCAGCTCCTGAATTACTGAGCTAATTTTAGTGAAATTTTCAACTCTTCTTGATTAAGCAACATGAACAAACAATTCAAACAAGCTCAAGTAAATAACTCTGAAATGTACCGGCATTTCACCATCTGAATCTGCTGAGCTACTGCTTGAATCATTGCACAAGTGTGAAGACACATGCAAAGAGCTAGAAATAGTGGAATCTACCATGGAATTGAGACGCAATAGAGACGTGGGTTCCTTTTTATAATGCATGCCTGGTTTTGGAGATGAACTTTTTGGGGAAGGAGTTTTAGGGGAATCCATAGGAGAGAAAATTTTAGGAGAATGCATTCGACTCTTCACTTTTGTTGGATGTATGTTTGGCTGAGTTTCTACACCCTTATTTGTTCTTATGCTGTTAGGCGACACTAGATTGTGTGCTCTATCTTCAGAATCCAAATGTGAATGATGCTCATTGTCAGAATCGTCTTCATTTTCCTCAGGGATGCCCTCCTAATAAGGAGAACCAAGAAACGAGCTTTAGTTATTCCAAAAATTACAAATGATATAAAGGGTATAAAGCAATAAACCATGAATACATCCAAAGTCAAGCTCGATAATAGAAATTTAAATGTACTGACAAACACTTGTGGATTCCATATAGCAGACTCCTCCAGATTCTGTGAGGATGTAGAAGTTACACTCAACCTGCATGGAGCCAAATGTTTGAAAGAATATACAGGTATCAGAGCCTTCATTCAAATGAGAAGGTTTTTCCCCATAAATCATTTAAAATATAAGATGAATCTAAAAGAAAGGTCAAAAGAAACAAAGGAAAAGATTTGAGATGACCAAAAAATGGCTAAATGTATTTACATGGTGAAAATGAAAACTCCAAAGCAGTTAGGGGATGAAATTAACCTGGAATATTCTCTTGCATTCTCTTTAGGTTTGAGGATTGGAGTAAACCCAGCACTCTTCGGCAAGATAGGACCAAATTTTACATAATCAGGAATCGAACGACTCACCTCGTTCAAAGGAGTCATAGGTGGCTCTGCAATTGGCAGCATGGGCATCACCTTCTTGCTAGTGGCTGAATCGTAGTTCATGCAGTCCTTATAGTACTTTGCATAAAGCCTTGTATTCTCATCCAATGATTGCCCATAAAGTTGCTCTAATTTCTGTGTTTTCTCCACTTGATCTGGCCTCATAGAAAAGATCAAAGATTCATTGAAGTACTGATCAAAATCCACAGTGAAAGACAAATCAGTGGAGTCAGGAATTACATCCATCACAAGCCTGTTTCTCTCCTCTGAATACCACCCCACAATGGAGCTCATGTGTGGAAGAAACAGATCTTTCCAGAGCTCAGGAGCAAAATCAATCCGCGAAAAGAATGGGTCAACAATGAACATCTCGAGAACACGAATAACTGCATTGTGATCGTTGTTCCGCAATTTCCACAGATATGCAAGGTTAAGATGGGCCCAAGCAGAGAGATAAAAATTAGGAACTCCTGCAGTTTTCTGGTTAGAATCCAACATTGCACACACTTGCAGCATCTTCTCTGCATGGTCTAATCTTGCAAGCTTCGTTTCCACATTGGATGTGTTGATTGCTTCTTCGAGGGCATCGATTCCCCAATCCAAATTCGCTAACACAGCTTGATCAGAGTACCGGACTTCTGTATTAATATCAGAGCTTCCATCTTCAGCTGCTAATCTCTCTGCACATTGTTCCTTCTGTTGTATTCTCTGTTCTTTATTGATTAACTGATCCTGGATGAAACTTCCAACCGTGGTTTTCAAGAATCTAACAATATCCTTTTGGTCCATTGCAAACCTATAATTTCCAGCCATCTTGGTGAAGTTGATCCTAGCAAATGAGTTCCCACTTAATGTTGAAACTTTTTCTTTGTGTTATTGATCTGTTCCTGATATGTGAAATCATATGTCGTCTGCTTATTTCTACCAAAACCACTACACTGATTCATTGACAACTGGCGCAAAATAGAAACAGAAGTTCAATTTCTGAAGCTCAAAATTAACTTTAACAAACAGTTCATACAAATACATCACTGAGATTGAAAATAACGTTTCGGATTGGGAGAAAAATAATAATAAAAACCCTAATTCATTCATCTTTCTTTGATAGGTCTACTTAACTTATATGCGTTTCAAGCAAATATAAGAGGTCAAATTCATACTGAACATTAGCTCTACATAAAACGAAACTATGCAAATAGGGAAAAAGGCAAAAAGAAACGGACTAAAACCATCAAATTAACCACAGAAATCCTAACAATTGATGTAAGTAAATATGTCACTTAAATTGAAAATCATCGTTTTAAATTGGAAAAAAAAGAAGAAGTTAAAAACCCTAATTCATACATTTTTTTTAAATATATAGAACTAGTTCACTTACCTGCGATTCAAACAAATATAAGAAGTCAAAATCATACTAAACATAAGTTCTACATGAAACAGAAATTATGAAAAGGTAAAAAAAAAAAAACCTACTTAAATCATCAAATTGATCACAGAAATTCCAAACAATTCTAAGTAAATAATCACAGAAATTCAAACAATTCTAATTTACAAAAAGCCAAGAAGTTGAAAAGGCAGATAAGAGAGCGACTGTGTTCGAAAAGTCCTAACAGGGGAGAGAGAGGACTTACAGTAATGAATAAGAAAACTCTGAAACACGGTATGTACAAGTTCAACAAATAGATGAGAAAACTTGTAGAAGAAAGTCTGAGACTAGAGTTTTCAGATCATCTTTCAATACACGCCTCTGAAGTTGATGTAATAACATATTCTTTTACCCGCGAAATCTACAATGATCCCCAAAACAATTTCATTGAAATTCGTATCACTTTTTAGAGAGAGAAAGAAATGTAGAGAGAGAGAGAGCCGGCTTTTCATAGAGTAGCTGCCGGCTTCTTTGGCTGTCGCTATGTGATGATCAAAGCAAACCGTGGCCGAGTCCATTTCATATAGTATAAATTGAATAATATATACATATACATATATACATATAGAGAAAGGGGAATTTGATTTGAAAAATATTCGATTGATAAATGACAGAAAAGCATTGCCCTTTTTGGCTGAAACATTCTAATACTATTGGTTAAAGGACGAAATTGCCCTTATTCTGTTTTGTTTCAACTTTCTACTCTCTTTATTTGGCGGGAAATATCCTCAACTATGACCAGGCCCAAGTCACCCAAAGCCCAATTAGATCATAACACAAACGCTAATTGTTTTCAATTTTAGATTTTTTATTTTATTTTAATATATTTTGGTTAGGTATAATTATAATTTATTTATATCTTAGAAGACTTGGTATACTATTGGCTAAAGGACGAAATTGCCCTTATTCTGTTTTGTTTCAACTTTCTACTCTCTTTCTTTGGCGGGAACTATCCTCAACTATGACCAGGCCCAACTCACCCAAAGCCCAATTAGATCATAACACAAACGCTAATTGCTTGATATTTTTTTAATATATTTTGGTTAGGTATAATTATAATTTATTTATATCTTAGTAGACTTGGTAGTTTATGTTCATAAACTATGGCATTCAAATATATGTAGCCGGCTAGTCAATGGCTTATTTTATATGTTGCTCTTTGCTATATTTTAAGTTTCTAACATAATAAGGGACTTTTTAATTGGTACCATTCTCTTTCTTTTTATTGTGTGTGTGTGTTTTTTTAACTAAACATTTATTTATTTGCCAAAAGAAGATTTTTATTTATTTATTATTAAGCTTTGGAACAGTCCAAACTAATAGTTTATATCTTTGAGTTTTTGGAAGAATTATACAAGAATAAGTGCATTAAAAAAGAAGTTAAAACCTTTTAAACTTTCACCTTTTGTTTTCTTTTGTTGGGTGGGCCAAGTAGTGAGACAAAGAAAAAGAGTAACGAAGGTGCAAATAATTTCCGGAGGGACTAGAAAAAAAAAAGAAGAAAAAGAGTAATGATACAAGTCTAAATGGACACATCATATTAAAATTATATGAGTATGAATAATATCATATTTAATGATGTCATGATGATATCATTCTTCACTTACATAAAATAGTTGGATACATCCCACTTTTGAATTACTCAAACAAAAGAGTAATGATACAAATTCCAAAAATAGGTCACGTCCACTTAAATTTATGTTAGTAAAAAATAATATCATGCTTATGCCATTTTTCACTCACATAAAATGGTCCATTCAAATATAAATAAATAAATAAATATATATATATAAAGTGACGAGAAGCAGTTTCTAAATATAATTAAAAATGAATTAATACTCCTCACCAAAAAAAATATATTATACCCCATCTGTAAATGTATGGAATAATTATATGGATCTCCTCTGTAGATTTAAAACCACGCTAAGCTCTTTTATGAGATTAACATACCCTTCGGCCCATTAACGATTAACATAGTCAAAGTATGTAAATTTTGGGATTCCTTTACGACAACAAGCGGTTATGGCAGTCTTTGATTTCCATTTTCATCCCATCACTGCAACTTCACACATCAAAACACACAAACTACAAAGCCATTTTAACACCCCAAACCTATTTCATTCCCATCTCTGCAACTTCACACATCAAAAAGCACACAAACCCATTTTGTATGTAAATATGAATATGTGTGTGTGTGTGTGCGTGTGCGTGTGTGTCATTGTTTTCATTGAACCAAAGTTCCCTATCATATCTGATCTGCAAGAGCCACCATAGCAGCTTCATCAAGCTCCACTGATTATATGCGCCACTGATGGTATCGATGAAGAAGATGAAGAGAATCAAGAAATTAATGTGGGTGCAAAGTTGCAGAGAGGCCAACGGCGTCAAGGGTCTCGGCATTTTCAAAGTCTTGGAGCAGACAATGAAATTGGGTGGCTTGTCATCTATCGGATTGTATTGTTTTATGTGTTAGCTGAAAAAGGTATGCAGATTTGAGTTCATATACACTATTTGTGTTGTATGATGCAAGCAGTGTTTTGCAATGGTTTAGTGCACATGTAAAATGGAATCATGAGATGATGTAGCCTTGGCAGTGTGTTTTTGCCGACCGAGCCGAGCCTGAGCTCGTTCGAACATTGGCGAGCCGAGCCCGAGCTTGGTTAAGACAAGCTCGTCTGAACCCGAGCAAGCCAAAGTTCGGCTCAGCTCATTTGCAACCCTGCCTTTTCTCATCTCACCTGGGATGTCAAAGAAAGAAATTACGTGAATCGAATCGATTATTTTTTCTTAACCACCCCACCAAGCCACTAAAAAAAAAAGATTGGTGGAGAACCAGAATGTCGGAATCACCACTATCATCACCAACTACAATACAAAACAGAAATAAAAATCATTAAAAAGAACATTATGCAGAGTTTACTAAGGAGTATATATAACTATATACACGTATATAGGTTAGGAGAATAACAAATATAATCCAAAAGCATAGCGTTGATTTAACTTTTGGGTCATTCAAGACGTTAGGAAAATAGGAAACTACAAATGAGTCAAATGACGATATGTGCTAAAATCAAAGAAAAACAGCCGTAATAAACAGTAACCACACTATTCTCCCTCTATTTGAAAGGGTGTAATAAACAAAAAGGAATGGAGAGTTCTACAAAACATAACATATACATATATTTTTAGTGCGTGGTTGATAACTTGGCACGGGCACTTGTTCTTTAACTATTTTAATTTTGTTTTGTTGTAACCCTTTATCTTCAAATAATTTACGTTTTCCCCGCAAGACTATAAATCTTTATTTCATTCTAAATCCTTTTACTTTCTCAATTTCTATATTTCAGCGTCACTAGTCAACTTCCTTCAATGCACGTATACTCAACTACATCGTCAGAAGAAATGGATAGTACAAGGATGTACTTGACTACTTTTGTCAAAACAATCAATTCATTTGCCAAGTGCAAGTGACTACTTTAACAACAGAATTCAAACTTCCGTAAGTCAATTGGGGAATTTGCAGCAGTTTGTAAATTGAGGGTATTTGTTGCTAAAGAAAATAGTAGATGGGGTATTTTGTAATTTTTTGAAATGGGGTTTTAATTTGACCTATTAAAAATTCAAACTAAGGTTACAAAGCATTTTCTCTCAAGTTTTCCCACCCCTTTCTCACTCCTCAATCTCATCCAAATCCTACCAGAACCGTTGTCCATCACTGAAACACCATATATGCTAGCTAGGAAGCGAGCACATGTCTAAAAGGACAAAGAATTCGCGTCGGACATAGACACACCCCAACACGTCACGCGTCGGACACACCAAAAAACATTTCTGAATTTTTTTTGCCATATTTATTTATTTTATTGCATATTTAGTTCGAAGGTTCAAATTATTGCATATTTATGTTTCTTTTGTTTTCTCCTCTTTCTTAACTCTATTTCTACTATTCTCTCTTTTTCCACGGCAAACAACAATTTTTTTTCATTATTAGGTTGATAAAAATTAATATTATTACTCTTAATTTCTTAAAGCACAATATTGTATATATAAATATATATTTATTATTCATTGGGTCCCCGACGTGTTTGTGTCCTAATTTATTAGGATTTGCCATGTCGTGATGTATTAGTGTCCTGTATCCGTGTCCGTGCTTCTTAGTATGCCAAAGAACCAAGGTGACTCCCGTTCTCTCCCTATCTCTACGAACCGAAACCAATTTTCTTTTCCCCTGTTAGAAACTAAAGGTTTGATCACATGGAAGATCGCAAGGACGTCCGAATCCCCACACCATCTTTTTTCCCAAAATCGAACATTTCTTCCGCTTTGAACCTTGAAACGAATATGTTTAGAGAATTCATCCCAACCTCCACGGATAAGTTTCCAAGAACCCAATACGTTCAGTATGTTCTTTTCCTTTTACATCAAAATCTTCTATAATTTAGATGATTATTCTCAACAATCTAATTGGAACGGTAAAATCTATAGCGGCATAGCCTTTAGATACCCAATGAATATCAGCTAATGGTTCTGGGGTCTTTCTTGTTTTCCAGCGGATTATAGATTCTAGCTTCAACTTCACATCCCCAAATGCGAAAATGCATTAAGCTAGGTTTTCTATCGGTCTATAACTCAAAATATAATTGACCGTCTTAGAGGCTTCATCCCGCAAGGATTCAGGCCGGAAAAACTTACAAAACAGATACTTCTCACCATGTCACTTAGTGTACGGTTACGCCTTTCTGCAACCCTATTTTGTTTAGTCGTCCCAGGAGTAGAATATTGAGCAACTATAATGCACCCTTTAAGAAAATTTAAGAAAAGGGCCAGGATGATGTCCAGACTCGTCATAACTTTCCACCTAAACCGGACCTTACAATTTTAATTTTCCTACCTAATTGATTTTCGATCTGAAAAAAATACTTTAAAGACATCAAGAACACAAATATGGCTAATTTTTAACTGATCAAAAAAAAAAAATACATCAGGAACACAATTTTTTCTGAAAATAGAAAAATATAACAACAATGCGTGTTCAATCCTTTTCTTAGAAATATGACCAACCATATATGTCAAAGCATGGATGAATTTTCATTAAAGTTATAAAAGAATGTACACGTTTTTCTCCAACATCATTTTTCATCCTTAAAGTTATAAAAGAATGAACACAATTCAATTCGTATAATCCATCAACCAAAATTTCATTACCAATTGCACAAGAGTTCTGAAATAAGCTAAAATCACTCTTATTGAAACCTAACAACTCTTATTAATTTGACAGCTACTTTCATGTTACTAAATCTATTTAGTATTTACTGGCATTTTAAAAACTGGTTGATTTTATTGTTCAAGTTGTGGAAGCTCTTGATTAACCCCTGGTTGAATTCCATCAGTCTCGATCTTTCCCTGATCAATGGAAATATCATAATGGAACAATTGTATGCTCTTTCTCAAAGGGTATGCTCTTCCAAATGA